CATGTGGCAGTATGCGTGCAAGTGACAACGTCGTCCCCACCACCAGCTACCCTCTCCCCCCAGCCTATACTGGCGTGTCTGCCCACTACCCTACAGACTTGGTAAACGCTTCAGGATGTCACGTATGTAGCCCATCAAACTGAGAAGGGCAGCAGAAGCTGCTAAAAGTTGGCAGGTCAGGGAAAAAGCACGTGTTTGGTGGGTGAGCAGAGCGTCTACAGATACAGAATCAGTTTGTGTGAATCCTGAATTGTGGCCTCCCAACGTCGCATAAAGAAACCACTCAACAAAGGATGCTCCTTGCCCGGGCTGAGGAGGCCGCTGATGCCACCTACAGCCTGCGAACTAGCTCTGCAGCCGATCCGCCACCCTGCCGGGTCCTCCGTCCCCGTGGAAAGAGAGGAGATTAGAATTTATGCTGGGATGGAGAATGGGCAGTCAACTCTCAGGATGAATTTTTTTTTCCCTGATAAAATGTAAGTAATTAAACCCGAGTTTAAAAATTATCCGACTAAAGTGTTTTTGGAGATTGCAGTAATTGGATTACGATTTGTGAGCTACATTTCTCATAAATACGTGAGAGCACCTTATCAGATATGCCTGTGTCTTTTTTTTTTTTTTCGTGTGTAGCAAGCCCAAAACATTCAACCCAATTCTAGATTAGGTTAGTGGATACATGCTTATCCACGTAGTTGTATCTTAGGAGAAACCAGATTGCTGTGGAACCATCAGATAACACACACTTCTAAAAAGAAATGGAATGTATTTTTATTGGCACAGCCAAGATGAAGTATGTCTTGAAATCTGTTTTACAAATAAACTTGCACATAAATTGTCCATTCACTGCTCTGAAATCTTTTTTCACGTTTGAGGAGCTGTCAGAGGTCCCTAATAAACATGAGTCTTATTTAGTTTACTGGATATATAATTCTTCTTTTCTTTGAAAATAATTATTTTTCAAGCAAGTGCAGCAAAAATACAACCAATAAAAATCTAGCTATGACAGCATAAACAACCTTTATAGCCAGCATATACATAGAGTTCTTCCAATAAAAGCAGTTTCTGGTAAGGAAAGGAATACAGAAAATTGGCCGACGGGTGCTTGAGATCAAAGTCTTGACTCCTAAGGGTTGACAGACAAACCCTCACACACGCAGCCTGTTCCCACTTTCCCATCAGGGTAGTCCCCGGCTGTCAGGGACGGTTGGAGCATCCCAACTGCCGGCGTATTCCAACACGGCTGGTGAGGCACCCTCCCCAGAGCCCATTCTGGAAGGGGCCAGCAACGCTGATGGGTGGTGGGATGAAGTTCTTGGGAGGGCTCTGGAGGACAGGGTTCTCTCTATTTTGGGGTCTCCCGAGAGGGCGGTGCCAGGGTGAGTGGCAGGGCTGGGGCTTGGGGATTTGGGTGGATTTAGCGGAATCTTCCAGGGATTTCGCTCTGGACTTTGGTCACCTCCAGTCCCCACCCGTCAGGGCTCTCTGGAAGGCACGTTGTTGGGGCCCTTCCCAGCCCTGCGCCCTGCAGTGGGTCACCGTGCCCCTGGTTGGGAGCCCTGGCCGCCAGTGCGTATGGACAGAGTGTGAGGCCGCAGGTGGGGGCTCCGGGGCCTCCCCAGCCGGGTGCCGACTCCTCCTGGGGAGCTCCGTGTTAGCAGGTTCTCAGCAGACAAGCGGGTGCTCATTTATGCTTTTTATAGTAGCTCCAGAAGATGTTATCCCAGCTTGAGAACAGAAATTAAAATATGTATCCTTCAGGTGCAAATCTACTGTACTTACAGTTTTACTGTTTCTCTGCAGGGGGGCTCCATTAATCTTGTAACAGTGAAATTCCTAAGGAAATTAATTCCCTCCAGTTGGGGTTATTCTCAACTGGTCTTTGGGGGCGGAGTAATTGGAATTTAAGAGTCTCTCTTAAAAGAAAGGAAACATTGGCCGTTTTACTTGAATAACAACACTTTTTAATGCCATGCTTTGCCCATTAAAAATGCTGGCTCGCTCTCGCCCTCTCAGTGCTCCTGTGTCTCTCAGCTCCATGGGGTGAGGTTTGCAAAGGTTTAATTCCTCATTCTCCTCTACAGTGACCAGGTACTCCTCTCCACCATGGCTTATTGTTTCCGCCTAGCACTCAGCCCTGTGCCTGCCAGGGAATATCACCTGGCCCTGGGAAGGAATGATGTGTCATTAAAAATGCATGGCTAGGGGCACCTGGGTGGCTCAGTTGGTTAGGCGTCTGCTTTCGGCTCAAGTCATAATCTGAGGGTCCTGAGATCGAACCCTGCATCATCAGGGTCCCTGCTTGCTGGGGAGTGTGCTTCTCCTTCTCCCTCCAATGTTACCCCTGCTTGTGCTCTCTGGCTCTATCTCTCTGTTAAATACATAAATAATAAGATATTTTAAAAAAATGCATGGCTAAAATATTTCCTTGTCTACTTAGGAGGTAATGTTCTTAACTGGGAAAATAATCACACCTCATTCTCTCTATCACACACACTCTTTTTTTTTAAAAAAAGATTAATTTATTCATTAGAGAGAGAGGGAGAGAGAGGGGCAAAGACATGGGTGGAGGGAGAGGCAGGCTCCCCGCAGGGAGCCTGATGTGGGACTCGATCCCGGGACTCCAGGATCACAACCTGAGCCAAAGGTAGGCGTCCAACCCCTGAGCCACCCAGGCATCCCCCACACATACCGTTTAAAACGGGGTCAATTCACAGACGTAGGGTAGAGCTACTTTGCTGCCAGGAAGGCCCCTTCAGGTCTGAGCTTTGGCTCTCCCAGGCCAGGACTTCAGCTTCCCAGTCCCCATGTTCGAGGACCCTGCCCAGGGGACATGTAAGGTAAATTTTAACTGGGTTCCCAAAGGGGACGTCCTCAGGGAACAGGACACTGCTAAATGATGCTTACATATGGGGTCAGTAGATTAGTGCTTGAAATGAACACACATTGAAGGCATAGGCCAAAATCAGCCCCGATACCTTGCTTTCCTGAGTTTTTGAGCTTTTGTGCACTAATAGGGTGGAGGAGGGGGCCCTTGGGAGAGCCAAGTCCAGAGTATTCTGTAACAGGCCAAGCCAGTTTAACATGAGGAGGAGTTTTTTCCTTTAGTGTTCCCTTAACATGCTTAGAGAGAGGACAGGGTTTTAACAGCCCATAGGTGAGACGGGGTACAGTGGTGGGGCTCCAAGTGGGATTGAGGTGATCAGAGAAAGCCTAGGGTGAGCTTTGGTACTACCCCTTCCCTGCTGTGGTGGGTCGGGGTGTTTCCTTAGCTATAAAGTGTAGGTAGGCGGTGATGTTTTTACATTAGCGGCTGAAGGGAAGCATTGAGTGGTAAATACAGACACGTGCTTGAAGGCCTTGGCAGGCTGAAGAGCACCATGTACATGTACATATACATGCAGACCTGGGAGAGCCAAATGCGACAGCCAAATACTGCTTGGGCTAGGGCCCAGCCCAGAGGTCTCTGTTGCCAAGGTCAGAGCATTTTGAAGCTCAGAGGTCAGCTTCTAACCATTAGGCCTGTTGATGTCAATAGTGAGAGCTGCAGAAAGAGCAGGAGGTAGAAGTGGGAATACGAGGCAGAGTGGGTGGCTCAGCAGTTTAGCGCTGTCTTCAGCCCAGGACCTGATCCTGGAGATCTGGGATCGAGTCCCACATTGGGATCCTTGTATGCTTCTCTCTGCCTGTCTCTAGTAAATAAATTAAAAAAAAAAAAAGAGTAGAAATGTAATCTTGGAGTTTCCCTGACATGCTTTTTTTCTAAAGTGGAGAAGTGCTCTGTAGCTGGTGTGTGCTGCTCTCAGCAAATTCCATTTAAAGGGAAAGTCGGGATTTTTAAAACAGCCACGTTAGAGGGGCTGATTACTGCTGCTTTTTGAAAAAGAATCACTATAGCCCATTTCCCTAGTGCATTACAATTTCATTATTTTTTAAATCACAAAGCCAGTCCATGTCTTTGAAAAAATGCAAATGACATTAAGAAGTATAAGATGTAAAAGGGAAGGTCCTCCCTTTTACTCCCCTCTTTTCTGGGGGCAAGCTCTCCTCACACTTTGGGGCATATCCTTCTGAAGACTTTTTTTTTTAAATGCTACTGTTCAGCTATATATAGTTATGCTATTTTATTTGCATATAATTCTGTTTAAAACAGCCGTTGGAGTATGCATCCTCTTTTGCAAGGCGCTGTTCCCTCCACTTCCTATTGCATCTTTGCATTGCAATCTCTGGGTTTTATTTTTTTTTTAAAGATTTATTTATTTATTCATGGATTTTATTTATTCATTCATGAGAGACACACAGAGAGAGAGAGGCAGAGACACAGGCAGAGGGAGAAGCAGGCTCCCTGCAGGGAGCCCCATGTGGGACTCCACTGGGGATCTTGGGATTGGGCCCTGAGCTGAAGGCAGACGCTCAACCGCTGAGCCACCCAGGGCCTCTGGGTTTTATTTATTGAAAAAAAGTTTGTTTCAAATTTTACAATAGTCCACAGAGAGATCCTGTGTACCTTCCCCCCTCAAAGATGACATCTCGCACAGCCATCCTGCAAAACCCCAGCCAGGACGACCACATTCACACCGTCGGCCCCTCTTCTTCCCGGTGTTAGTTGAATCCGCGTGTCTGCGTGTGTTTTGTCCCGTGCAATGCTATGTTCGGGTTTGCACAGGTACCACCGCAGTTAGGATACCAACGACCTCGTGGCTCTTCCTGCATCATCTCAAATAATGTGATTTCCCGTTTTCGGTAACAAGTCCGCCTTCCACTTAATTTCATTCGAGGTGGAAACGTGCAGACCTGGCGGCTTTCACCTCCACCCACTCGCACGCGCGCACGGGCTCCCCCGCAGCTGCAGCTGGAGCTCCCGGGAGGGTGCGGAGCGGGGGGCGGAGCCCGGAGCAGCGCGGCCCCGCCCCCCGGAAGCCCCGCCCCCGGCCCAGCCTCGGGCCTGCGCCAGCCGCGGGGGCGGGGCTTCCGCGCGCAGACCCCGGAGGCCCCGCCCCCCGGCCGCCCGCGCTCGATTGCTCCTGTCTGGCGGCGGCGGCAGCATGGCGGCGGGGGCGGCCGAGGTGGCGGCCGTGGTGGAGGTCGGCTCAGCCCCGCAGTTTGAGGAGCTGCTGCGCCTCCGAGCCAAGTGAGCCGGGCGGCGGGCGGCGGCGGCGGTGGCGGCGGCGGCGGCGGCGGCGGCGGGGCCTGGCGGGGGGCGGCCCGGCTCCTTCGCGTCCGGCCGGCGGGGCCTGGCGGGGCGGCCGGCTCCCGAGCTCGGCCCCTCGGCTCTCCCGGCCCGGGAGGGGAGCGGGGGAGGGGGACGGACCCGACCCATGACCCCATGACCCCATGACCCCTCCGGGCCCGGGAGGGGAGCGGAAGGGGGGCCCGACCTGACCCCATGACCTCATGACCCGCCGGGCCCGGGAGGGGAGCGCAGGTGGGGGGGGGCCGCCCCGCCCTGACCCCATGATCCCCCGGGCCCGGCAGGGGAGCGGAGGGGGGTCCGACCCCGTCCCAATGACCCCCCCACCCCCGGGAGAGGAGCGGGGCGACCCCGCCCCGACCCCCCGACCCCCCGGCCCCCGGGCCCCGCCCCGCCGCCCGGCCTCTCAGCCCCGGTGCCCCGGCGTCGCGCTGCTCCCTGGGCCGCGCCCCGCCGCCCCCGAGGGTCCCCGGTGTGCGGGCCGCTCGGCGGGTCGGCGGGTCGGCGGTGCCGGGGCCGGAAGGGAGCCCCGCGGGCAGGCTTCCTAACCCCGCCTTCCTAACGCGTTAGAGTCGCGGGCGGGGGGCGGGGGTGTGCGGGGCACCTGCCGTGCCCCCTGCGGTGTGGACGCCGCGGCCCGCGAAGGCCGGTGGTGCCCGATGTACCGGCTACAGGCAGGTAGGAGCAGTAGGAGCAGTAGGAGCAGGTAGGAGCGTGCCTGGGAGAGCGGGTGAGCGGGGGCAGGGGCGGGGGCGAGCGGGCCTGGAGGCGGAGCAGGGCCCTCCAGGGCCGGAGCTACTGCCTTGCTTCTGGGGGTCACGCGTGCTGGCCCTGCCGAAGGTAGACGTGTAACCGGATCAGCGCTTCACACGTTTCAGGTTTCCTTGGAAAACTGTTTACAGGAAAAAAAAAAAAAAAAAAAAAGAGGGAAATGAGCGTTACTCACTGATGAGAGGTGGGTTGTGACTCATCCCGCACTGACATACCCGACTGTGGACGGCGCCCGAGGTGGGCTCTCGGAAGGGGCAGGACTACTTAGGTGCACCTGCTTTCCTAAATACTTGAGCTCACTCTGCCTCGCGTGTTGCACATTTCGGTTTTCACGTGTCGTTTTTTTTTTTTTTTTTTTTGTTAATCGTAAACATCCTTAAAAGAACACAGCCCACACACGCCATTTGGGTGTTTTCCTGCCAGTGGTCTGTGCTCCAGGTGATGCAGAAAGCAGCACACCTTTCCCCTAGGGATTAGCTTCAGCAGGCACCTGGGAAATGATGGCTGGCATAGGAGAAGGAGTACATCTCTGCCCATTTTTTTTTTTTTTGATTTTTACTTATGATAGTCACAGAGAGAGAGAGAGAGAGAGGCAGAGACATAGGCAGAGGGAAAAGCAGGCTCCATGCACCAGGAGCCCGACGTGGGATTCGATCCCGGGTCTCCAGGATCGCGCCCTGGGCCAAAGGCAGGCGCCAAACCGCTGCACCACCCAGGGATCCCCATCTCTGCCCATTTTTGTGATAATGGAAGCATTCTAAGATCTTATACAGTATTTGTTATGGTAATTTAGAAATCTACATCCTAAACTTAATCTAAATTTAATCTTCATCCTAAACATCCTAAATTTAATCTTCAATTAAAATTTTTTTTCTTTGAATATTTTACTTATTCATTCATAAGAAACAGAGAGGGAGAAGGCACAGGCAGAGGGAGAAGCAGGCTCCATGCAGGGAGCCCAATGTGGGACTCAATCCCGGGTCTCCAGGATCACGCCCCTGGCAAAGGCGGTGCTAAACTGCTGAGCCACCCGGGCTGCCCCCAGTTTTAAAATTTGATGTGAATTGAAATTTTTTCTTTGTTTAACTCACCTCGGGTGTTTGTGTATCACTGAAACCTCAGTTGCTCTGTACAGTGGGGATATCCCCAATTGCAGAGGAATCAAGATTTTACCCATTTCTAAAATACTTAAGTCCAGTATATGATAGTATTTAATACACGGCAGCTGGTATTATCTGCAGATAAGTAACTGCAGGAGCTGAACACCTAATAATAATAGAGAAACAGCTATGCATTGAGCACCCATTTTGCTGATGCAGAGCCAATGTTCATTACATTGTCTAAAAATATGCTAGTCAGGATTTGAACCTGGTCTTTAAAGTTCTTCAAGCAGTGCACCATGCATGTAGGGTTATTCCATGCAGACAGAGGGTACTCATATGTAACCCAAGAGAGGGTGGCAGCATTTATATTTGTTTCAGGTTTATAGCCTAATGCTCCTAGGTACTATGTCCTTAATTAGAAAGTTGAGCATCTAAATAGGAGATTATTGTAGATGATGTAAAACAACTATTAATCTCATGCTTTTATATTTTTAAAGTGTTTTTATATTTTTGTTTGATCTTCCCAACATCTCAGGGTATTAGTTATTGCTGTTTTACAGTATGGAAGTTAAGATCTACATTTACATTAAGATTGAAATTACTCTTCAAAGTCATTTTAGTAGTCATGGAATTTTAAGTTGTGTGGGTTTATCTTTTTTTTAACTATTAGTGTAATTTATGCACAATAGTATATTAGTTTCAGGTATATATATGTATATATACATATATACATACATATACACACATATATATATATTTTGCATAGGCCAGTTCATACATACTGTTATAAAATTTGGGAACATTTAAATTTTTAAAAATATTCATATTTTGGGTATTTTTACATGCTATTAGAATTCTTTGAAATATGATTTTTAACAGCTTGCTAATATTCTGCTATTTGACCATTAACAAAGATACAGTGTTATTGAAAAATTGATTCTTCCAGTTATTTGCTATGTGAGAAAATGGGAAAGTATTATACATAAATATACATAAATCTTTGTTTCTTTAATAACTTTCTTAGGATAGATACTTGACAGTGTGTAAGAATTTTCTGAAAGGTTCCAGTTTAATTTTTACCAGTAAGATACAGAAATACTTGACTGCTTCTTTTTTTTTTTTTTAACATGGACTATTTTATTAAAAAAAATCTTCTTTCAGTTTAGTAAAAAGTGGTATCCCAGCATTTTAAGAAATGAGGTATTACTTATATACCATAATAAAATGCATGGATCTTAGTAGTTAGGTGTGTTGAGTTTTGACAGTTGTACATAGACGAGTAACCACTATTCAACACAATATAGAGCCCCAGAATGTTCTTTAGCTCCTTCCCATAGTCCCCACCACTGATCCACTGTCTGTCACTATAGGTTAGTTCAGCCGGTTCTTGGTACTTTATGTAAACGGAGTTACCTGGCTCGTGGTCTTTTATGTCTAGGTTGTTTTCCCCTATGTTTTCAAGATGCGTGTTGTTGCAAGGATCTATAGTTGGTTCCTTTTTATTGCCAAATAGTAGTCTATTGTATAAATGGACAATAGTTTCTCCACTTTGTGGACATTTGGGTTATTTCCAGTTTTTGGCTGTGTGTCTGTGGCTGCTGTGAACATTCTTGTGCAGGTCCTTTTGTGGGCCTCATTTTTTTCTCCCCATCCTGTAGGCCTTGGGGCGTCCCCAGCAGCCTCTGCAGAGGCTCATTGGCCAGAGCTCAGCTGCAAGGAAGAGTGAGCATTGTGGTCAGGTTGTGTGCCCAGGAGGAGAGGGGCACCTCATCGTCTCTGCCATAGACCCTGAGGCCCACCTATCCACACACATTGAGCCTTGGAGTTCTGTGGGACACAGATGAGAACCCATTGACCCACAATATATCCTTTCCAGCTTTGGGTGGGTCTTCCTTGAGGACCTCCTGCTTTCCTCCTGCATGCCCCTGGGCAGCTCTCCCTTTTTCCTCAGTACTGACTGTGATCCCAGTCCTTGTTTTCCTTTGTTTCAGGAAATGACCTTGCTTCCTGCCTGGGAAAAGGGATTTCCAATAACTTCTTCCCCACTCTCTTACTCTGCCTTCCCTCAACATCTGACACTGATTTGTAGCTTTACCCACTCTTGATTCCTTCACCCCTGACCTGGAGGAAGCTGTCCCTTCTCTCAAGGTGAATTCTCTGCTCTGGGATTTCCTCTCTCCTGCTGCCCCCGAGACCTTGCACCCTCAACTTGTCTTGTGTCTTCATCCTTTCCCTCTCCACTTGCACTCCCCCTTATGAAACAAACATGAGAATTTTCTTCTATTAAAAGCAAATCCCTTGTTCCTGTCTGCCCCTCTGCCTAGGACTCTCTCTGTTTATAAGCAGGTCTCTTAAAAGTGTAGATTTCTAGCACTCTCTGCAGCCTCCTCTTAGGTTCATTGCCCTTATGCAGCAGTGTGACTTGCGATTTTGCCCTGCAGCCTTGCTGGGGCCCTTCCAGCTGCATTGGAGGATTCTCACTCCTTCCTTCTTGACATCCTTCTCTTCTGTGAGGTCCTTTACCCTTGCTGGGCTTTTTAGGCTCCATCTTAGGAAGCAGTGGATCTACTGCCTGGGTTCCATTTCCTCCTAACTAACTGTCGATGAGTCCAGGGGCTCTGACCTTTGTCTTTAATCCTCTAGTGTGGGAGAGCTTGGTGCTAGCTCAGTTTCTTGATTACCGAGTCTATCTGCAGATGAAGCAAAGACTTCTTTCCTGAGCTCCAGACCATCACTAACAACCCCCCAGACCTCCTTTCCTCTCAGGTTAGCAGCTTCTATACCTGATGTGTGGCTTGTGCCACCACTAGTCATCCATCAGTCACTGAGCCAGAAACTTGGGAGTCTGCTCCAGACTGTTTCCAAAGTCGCCAAATTCTACCCCTCCTACCTCTGAAGTCCTGCAGTGCCTCCCTTTGCTTCTGCTCGCTGACACTGGATGGGGAGGCCATACTCCCAGCTGTACTGTTTCCCTGGTTTTATAGTTGGCCACTCCTTTCCTTGCCCACAGGTTAGCTGTCCTTAGTTCCTTTTTCTATGTAACATATTTTTCAGTCTGTTTTCTTCCTGATTTCTCAGATGTTTTTGGTTGGGGATGGTTATATTTGTACTTAGAATCCTATGGAAGAGTTTTTTAGTTCAATATGAGCATAGACTTAAAAAATATCTTGGGCAAGACCATTTTATATGGAAATAGTTTTTTTTTTTTTTTTTTGTATTTATTTATGATAGTCACACACACAGAGAGAGAGAGGCAGAGACACAGGCAGAGGGAGAAGCAGGCTCCATGCACCGGGAGCCCGATGTGGGATTCGATCCCGGGTCTCCAGGATCGCGCCCTGGGCCAAAGGCAGGCGCCAAACCGCTGCGCCACCCAGGGTTCCCTATATGGAAATAATTGATAAAAAAAAAAGGAAATAGTTGATAAATACATACTGACATGCCTGAGAACTTAGTCAATAACTTGTTAATCCACTGTTCTGTTTATACCATCAATTTTCCTCTTGTCTTCTTTCTGTGTGCCTTCCATTTTCAACATGTTATTCCTGTTCCTATGGTCCCAGCTATACCCTGGCATCACAGTACTGTGGCTGCAGAGTGAACACTGGTACCTACGCATCTGCAGCCGTTTGTCACTGATGCTTGCTGTGGCTGCAGAAATCCAGTTTCCACCTTTCCAGAGGGTCTGAAGACATAATTGATTTATAGGACTATTGGTTGAGAGGGATGAATATTTAAAACCACTTCATATGAGCTAAGTCTTCATTCAAGGAATACCATTAACTTGAAAATTCATCCAAAAGATTATCAAGACCTTGCAAGCCTTATATTTCAGTCGATGTTTAATATGATGGAATTCTAGCAGGACAAAAACAGTTCAGGCAGTTCTTGTGAAAGTTGTTTTGGTAATAGAATTTAATCGACGTCAGTATTCCCTTATGTCTAAAGATACTGTGACTTTAAAACATTGCATTTTGTTGATTTCCAGGTCTCTCCTTGTGGTCCACTTTTGGGCGCCATGGGCTCCACAGTGTGTCCAGATGAACGATGTGATGGCAGAATTAGCCAAGGAACACCCTCAAGTTTCGTTTGTGAAGGTAGTACACCTTGGGTGTCACCTCATTTATGAGGCAGACTGTTTTATTGACATAAGGGAGGATGGATGTGGAATTCCATGTTTATAATTGGTGTTAGTGTTTGTTATTTTTGCAGTAGATTCTTAAAAATCTTACAGTTGTTTTGCATTTCTCAAGTACCAAACACTGTGGCAATTGCCACACTTTCCCTAACGTGTGTGGTGGGCGGACAGAATTAGCAAACTGCAGGATGGGCATTGGGGATATTTGCCAGCAGAAGCGCCTAGATCATTCACTCTGGCTCACCGTGATTTTAATATAGTAAGAATATTAACAAAGCCTGCTTCATTGAAGAGCAAAGTGTGACGTGGAAAGTGAGTGAAGGAAGGCTGTGTGAAGGTCGCTGGGAGCCAGGGGCACAGGAGGAAGCTGTTGTCTGGGTTGGGTAAATGAAGACCTACTGGGAAAAACTGAGAGCTTTTCCTGGCCTGTGTGGAAGCAGAGGAGAAGAATCCAGTGTCTCCCTGCCTTGCCTTGTTTCCACCCAGCTTTGCACACTGCACATTCCTAGTTTTCTCTTGGGGGTGGGTACGAACTAGGAACGTGGTAGTCAAGGCTGTGGATTAGCTTGCTTGGCTTAGCACATTTAATGTTGTCATTCACGACTTAGCCTTGATTGAGGCAACAAAGCCAAAATAGGAGTCAAGAATCTTAGAAATGAATTTTTGGGAAGGGAGGCGCACCTGTATTCAAAAGCTTGAATCCTTAGGATTTAAAGAAACAAAAAGGACCAAATCCTTATTAAAACCAGAATTAGTTCAAATATACCCATATATGAGGTTAAAAGTAACATCTTCTGTATTTTCCACTTACATAAACTGAAAATAGAATTTTGACAGGCTAATTCATCTGTATAACAGGCAATGTAATTTTCAGGTAATTTGTGTACAGAGAAGTGTGCTTTGAATAGGTACTGCAGTTAGATGTCTCAAAATCAGAACAGCGTAGAAGGTATACAGTGAGAATGCTCTCCCACACCTTCCCTGCCAGCTGTGGTGTCCCACCCTATAAAGAAGGGACTGATTATATTAATTTTGCATGAATCTTTTCAGTGTGTTTTTTTTTTTTATGAAGATAGAACAAATATAGATGTAGTAGTTCGCTTTTTAAAATTTAAGGACTTATTTAAAATTCCAATGAAATGTGTAATGTAACCTTAGAATATAACCCTAAAATGTCCAATATAAATAATAGAAGGAGACATTAAAACTGCATGTATGGTCAGCGATAAAAGATAATGATTACCAGCAAAATGAATGATTAAACATTTCAATCATAAGATTAATCAAGATGATGGTAATTGTTGCAAGTCTGCTTTTATGTGTATAATGTTACTAGTTTAGGTAACACATTGTTCTTAGCTGCCATATGAATGATTTATTTAAAGCAACTGTAGAATTACTTCTCACATTGGTACCACGCTTGGCAGTGAGATTTTAAGTTGTTCAAGTGCTTAAGTGTCTCAGTAAGCCAGGGGTTGGGAAGTCCTTATCTCTCGGGGACACCTGAACCTGAGTGTACCTGCTGCTCATGGGAAGGCTGACAGCACTAGATGGGTGGTTCTCCCAGAGGCGTTACTTTCTGGAAATTCATTCTGTGGAGTAGTTTGTTTTCTTTTCTTTTCTTTTCTTTTCTTTTCTTTTCTTTTCTTTTCTTTCTCTTTAGATTTTATTTTTTTATTTTAGTGAGAGTGTGAGTGGAGGGGAGTTGCAGTTGGGGAGAGAGAGGGGGAGAGGGAAAGAATCTCAAAATCTCAAGCAGACTCTGCACTGAGTGCAGAGCCCAATGTGGGGCTCGATCTAAGGTCTCTGAGATCATGACCTCAGGTGAAATCAGGAGTCAGATGCTTAAGCGACTGAGTCACCCAGGCACCCCTGTAGTGTTTCTTTTAAATGGCAAAGATCATTTGCATGGAGTTGGTAAGGAAGGTAATTTAAATGGTGAGCAAATAAGTAAAATATCTGAGAGATCTGTTGGCATTCCCCAGTAGGAGAGGATGCATATTATTTAAAGAGCACTTTATTGTCAGTGAGAGCTTCCCCCTCACCGCCTGCAGTAGGGAACTGGTGCTTTTACCTCTGTGTCTTTTAACTTGAGGTCTTTTTTTTTTTTTTTTTTTTTTTAAGATTTTATTTACTTGAGAGAGAGAGCTCAAGAGAGAGCATGAACAGGGGAGAGGAGAAGCGGACCCCTGCTGAGCAGGGCGCCTGACGTGGGGCTGATCATGGACCCTGTGATCACAGCCTGAGCCACCTAGGCACCCCTGATCTGGCATTTTTGACTTGTGAATTACAGAGATCAGTTGATCCCATAACTTAAATTTACAAAATTATTATGTAGGTGATGTTGTAAATGATGTTTTTAAGAATTTGAGTGTAGAGTTTTGTTGCCATAAACAATTGTTTATTTTGTAAATGATGGGAAAGCCATACCTGAGAAAAGCTAGTGTACATTTTGGCTTAAGTAGTTCATGCTCATTGGAGTAGGTTGCTTAACGGCAGGACTCTTATGTTTTGATTGCATCTGGATGAACACCCTTGTGCCTGTACTCACCCTGTAGTGACAATGTGCTCATGTGCTCCTGGGCAAACCACGTCTGTGTTTGTGCCTGCGCTGGCCACCTCATCCAGACCAACCGGAGACTCTGGGCCCTGAGCACTGGGCACTGAGGTTTGCACGCCTCCCAGGGATTACAGGAGATACTCGAGTTACTCTTACTGCTTAAAGTCTTACTGAAAACTTGATGTTGGTTCAGAATAAAATTAAATGGCTAATTAAAGTGTGACATGCCCTTGCTTTTCAAATTACATACTGTCAGTTTGTTAGCACTTTATCTTTAAAATGGGGATAGAATCTTTCAAGATCTAGTGTCTGATGATGAGGTAGGAAGGAGGAGGAGAAGCACAAAGCTCCTTGTGATGGGAAGTTGGGTACAACCGGTTCTGTTCGAGGTCCAGATCAAATTCATCTTTTATAGGAGCGGCCATTCATTCTTATTTTACATTTGATTTTATTATGATTTACATTTTTGAAATTTTATCCAGTTTTTAAATCATTAAATTTATTATTGATTTTTCTTCACATGAAAAAATTGTATATTGTTAAGGTACTCAAATCCAAATCCATTTTATGTGAAGTATCCTGTGCACCCCTGTGGCTTTTTTTTCCCCCCCATCTCCAAACTTAGTCTGTGCCATTGGTTCAAATATTGGTTAGAGAATATCTTGTATTTTTGTTGTTCTGTCATTTAATTCCTGTTTTGATTGGCTTTTTTTTTTTTTTTTAACACAGAGAGCACTTGGTGGGGAGGGGCAAGGGGGTAGAGAATCTCAAGCAGACTCCATAGCCCAACATGGAGCTAGACCTCATGACCCTGAGATCATGCCCTGAGCCAGAATCAAGAGTGGGACACCCAACCACCTGTTGGTGGTGCCCCATCATTAGCTCCTTGGCTAGGTGGTGGTATACTTAATATAGGGCCCTTTAACCTTGTTTTCCTTTGTGTAAGTGGTTCCCATCTTCTTGGTCACCTCCCCACCCCTCTTCCAGCTTGATAATTCTGATCCAGTTAGGCCATGGTATTCACATTTTACCATATGATGCACTTTGGTACATAAACCCTCAAAGGCAAGCTTACTGGCCACCTGGTTGGTGAGGTTTGTACTACTGTGTTTCATTTAGTGGTGACCTTGTTTGTACAGTACCTGCTGCACTTGCATTTTATTATGACCATTATAACTTCAGGTATGAAACCAAAGGTATAGGAGGAGTTATATACTTAAGTTTGCATTTTTTTGATTCTTAGAAAATAAGAATTGTTTTAATTTGATTTATTCTTGAGTGTGCAAGCTTTTTTAAGCTCACCCTATTTAATTTCTGAGGGTCTATAAAATCAGTATAAAATTTCTATATAGTTACAGAAATGTTTAGTTCTAAATGTCTGTACAATTAGCTTCTGTACACACACAATGCAGGACAATCTCCAGAAGGGCACCAATCAGCTGTATAGCTAGGTACCAGTTAGCTGAATTCCTATATTTCAGTACTAGAGATTACTGACATAATCATTCTCTGTCATCATCATCATGGCTTCTTTGAGAATATATGTAGGATTACATTTTTGGGGAACTCTCAAAATGCTCAGATAATTCAAGGAGAATTACTAAATCTTAAAAGTATCCTAGTTCTTATTTAGGCTGTCTTGGTAATAAAAGATATACTAACAATTGACAATATTTATTAGCTATTCTTGGGCTAAGTTTGGTAAAGTTCTTTTAAAAAGGTACCAAAAACATTAATTTAAATATTTATTTGGACAAAGGATTTGTTTTTGAAAAATTTTCTTTTTATATCACATCACAGAGTTAGAAGCCTCTTTATGAAGTTTAACAAATGTTTCTGAATGTCAGGTTTAATTTGTTCTCTCCTCAGCCTCTGGGTTCAAGGCCACCCTGGCCAGCGGTCACTCCTATCGTAGGCTTAGCAGTATGACCAACATGTGCTTCGTATCATGTCAGATTTTATTTATCTAACACTTATTATATGCCACCATTATGCTGGTCAGTAGGGCCATTGGTTAACATATTATTAAGGTAATTTCAGATAGTGGTAAGTTCTAAGAAGAAATAGGCCGTGAGGGCCTATTTGGGGGTGGGTAGGTACTTTATTGGGGTTGGGAAAGCTAGAAAGAGATAAAAGAGTTTTCATTGGGAGAGCCAGGGATTGGGCTGTGGATCAGCAAATGAACACTGTTGGAAGGCTGCCAGAAGGCTAGTGGATCTAGCCGAAGGAGGAGAGGGTATGGCAAGAGGTTGACACTGGAAGAGTTTGGGTTTTATTTTGAGTGCAGCGGAAGTGACACGCAATGGGATTTCTGTTGTTGATTCCTTTGACCTGTGGGTTTGTGGTTTGAAATGGGGGAAGGATGCAGACTAGAAGCAAGTATACCTATTAGGAGGCTATCTCACAGGCCAGGTAAAAGACTTCATGGACATGAGTGAAGAGAGCGTTGAAATGAAGTCATGGTCTGATTTGGCTTATATTTTGGAGGGGGAACCGGGAAGACCTGTTGATGGAGTGGATTTCAGATGAGTGAAATGGATTAATCAAAATTGTTTCCTTTTTGATTTGATCATCTGGATGAATTAAAGAGATGGAGATGCCTTGAGGAGGAACAGGTTTAGTGGGAGATACCTAGTAGAGATCTGATTGAAGATGTCCGAGTGTTTAGCTTGGAGGTGGTGGTGGGGGAGGTCTAGCCTGGATACAACTTGGGCGTTGTTACCATATTGGTGTTACTTAACCCCAGGGTTGGATGAGACCATTCAGGGAGAATGAGCATAAATGAGAGAAGTACACTCAGAACCAAGTCCCTTGGGATGTGCCAGCCATGTAGAGGTTGGCCAGATATGAAGAAAGAAGGCAGAGAGACTGAGTCTCAGAGTTTGGGAAGAAGAAAAAATGGAAAGTCAAATGAGGCTTAGTGAGAAGATGGTATCTGGAGAGGGTGGGTGTGGTCACACTGATGATATTGAAAGGTCAGATGAGGAGAAGGGTAACCATTGGATTTGGTGAGATGACAGCAAGGCAGTGGAGGGTGGAGCTTGGCCCTTGAGCCACAGTGTTCTGCTCCACCATTCTACAGTGTTGTAATCTTGCTGATTTACCTAACTTTGTTAAGTTCTAGTTTCTTCTGGAAGTTAGATGTAATTACAGCATCCATTATCCTGCAGATTAAACAAGTCAGTACACAAAATGCACTTAGATCCATGTCTGACCTGCATTAATCATAGCTGTTAGCCATTACTGTTAAAGTGGTCTTTGGTGGCCCTGTAGAGAGGGAATTCCTATGTCGGATTTACCTTGCTGTGGAAACGCCTCCCTGCCTCTCCTCACCCCACTCCACAGACATAGAGCACATTTCAGGGGAAGGGTCTGACTTTGAGAGGCATGGTTCCCACCAAAGACGCTCTGACATTACATTCTGGAAATGTTCATGTTTGGTGAATGCTAAGGTCATATATAAATCCTACCTTTGAAATTTAATCTTTTTTTTTTTTTTTTGATCAGAAGAAAAAGATTACCGCAGTATAGCATAGGTTTTATAGTCAAACAAACTTGGTTTTGTTTCTCAGCTCTGCTAGTTATTAACTGTGTCTTTGGACAAGTTATATCTTCACCTAGCCACCTGTAAGGTTAAGTTGATTATGTACTACACACTTCTCCAGGTTTTAAATAGTTTAGGCAATTGTATGCAAAGGGTCTGTCATTGTTTGTGGCATAGGGTAGGCTTTCCATGAAAGGTAACTTTCCATGAAAGATCACTGCAGATCATATTTCAATATTTTCTATTTTCATTGATAGAACTGTCATGTTGTTTTATATCCACTAAAAATGCTTCCAAAGAATTTCAGTGCTGCAAAGGTTTTAGGACCTCAGATACCCTTGATGCTCTGAGGAATGGGTTTGCCTTTAGTAGCATTCCTGGTCTGTGCTGGGGGTGGGGGGTGGGATTTTTCTGTCACCACTGCCTTGGTCTTACTAAGATCTCTTCCTGGGAGCTGCTTTGTGAGAGGCACATGTGGCGATCCTCCTGGCTTTAGGAATTTCAAAAGGATTATTTTCTTCCTAGAAGAGTTGTCACTAAGGAGACCATTAGAAACTAGTAGGAACGTGAGAAGCGTTCCAACTTTTAGCCACACGGAGGACTGTATTTCTGGGTCCAGATGCTGCCTGGTTTGGTTTGGTTTGGTTTAAAGCTATATTATCTTTTGAGAGTTTTTGCCTAGTATTTTGTCTTTTTAAAATTTGTCTCATTTTGCTGTTAGAATCCAGTAGTACCAAAGATAGGGATCGTAGCTGAGCCTAACCCAGTGCCAACATGTGGTGGTCACTTGAAAGATGTTATTTGAGAGAAAATAATGAACTGCCTCAGTCATTGCCTTTTCTGTTCCTCTTTGGTCTGAGTGTGTAATTGTATGAAAGAAAAAAAGCACGAAAGTTTAAAAAACTTTTAGACAGTGTGTTCTAAATAGCTGTCTTCAAATGCTTTTTCTCTTTGTTCATTTTTTTCAGTTTTATTGGATAGTTGTTGATTTAAAATGTATGTAATTTTCACCTTAATACGTTTTGAAAAATGAATGTAATTGAAAATATTGTTTCAAAAGGGTGTTTTAAAGAAAAAAGTAGTAGTAAAAGAGCACCCAAGAATATATGAGATGGAAGATACAAACCAAAGACAAATGATGCTGCCTCCTATTTACAGTCAAGGTTCATTTGGATAGATATATACTGGATCGGGGAAAGTGCTGGATAAAAATAGTGCTTCAAGCCCAGTGGAAATCTTTCATTCCTGGAAAAATACAGGATATATTTTTAAAAATCTTTTAACAATATAATTTATCAATAAATTTTATTTCCTACAGGTATAATGTGAATACAGATTTTTATTGGTTTTAAAAAGTTTATATTAAATTGACAGTCCTATGAGGGAAGGATATAATATTATGTCTTGGTTTTTCTCAAAGTGTATGGTTTACAGAGTCTTACAGTATAAGTAGCTTACAGGAATTGTGTTCTAATTATTAAGAAATTGAGCCACTAAATACATTTAAAATTTGTATGTTAGCTAGCCATCATATCTTGTTGAGGGGCCTTAAGGAAATGATCAAGCAGAATGCAGTCATCTTATTTAAAATGCATTTAAATGTATGAATAGACCCAGAAGCAAATAACCTAGCAAGATATCTGCTTAGTGTCCAGCAGCCTTGCAGGAGTTAACGGTAAAATTTATCAGACATCAATAGTTTATTGAAGAAATACTCCTTTTTGCTTCATAATTTGCAGAAGGCTACAACTGTCACTCATGATGTACTGCCTCTTGGAATTAGTCAATAGAGCAAACAGCAAGAATTGCTGTGGGCAGAAAATAAGCACTGTAATCATGACATAACTGGGGTCAGTGATTTATGGATTTCAATATAGTAGTAGCTGCATATGATTGAAAATTTACTAGGTCACTAGTGCACCAAAAATTTTATTCACAGCCTCCAGGCATCTTTTGAAATGTGCAACAAAATAAAAACCTCTGAACCTGTTTTGACACTGCAGACTCAGTGGATGACACGCCAGCCCAGTGAGTCTCATTTAAATGTAAATGTGTCATAAACTTTTGTACCATACTCTTTAAAAACATCAGCTACTTGAAGGGATGATGTATGTGAAGCTGATTTACATGTTGAAGTAGTAAAATAGGACCTTTTTATAATCAAGCTTTAAATTCTTTTATTTTAAAGTTGGAAGCTGAAGCCGTTCCTGAAGTATCTGAAAAATATGAAATTAGTTCTGTTCCCACCTTTCTGTTGTTCAAGGTAAGGATAAAGATGGCACAAGAGATCCTGCATCTGTCATGGGCCGTGGGGCTCTGTCTTGGTTCCTTTACCCTCTCCCCTGATCCCTAAACATTTGGCACTTGGTTGTTCCTGGCCTTGCGCTGCCTTCATGTAGTCTCCTTGTTTGCACTGATGCCAAAGGTTGGCCTGGGGATCCTGCAGAAGTGACGTGTGCTCTGGAGGTCCAGCAATCAGAGTTGAAACTTGTAGAGAACAGTCTAGATATTTGTCTGTAGACCCAAAATGTTCCCTGAGTTGGGTAAAAGTTGGTTGCTTAGGGCCAGTGCCTGGACATAATGGAACATGTGGCTGGTCCTGCTTTGATTAATGACTCTCTTAGGAAGCAGGTGCAAATCTGTGCTTCAGGGCACCCCAGAGTGTTACCACGGTTCCCCCCCCAGTGCCGCATTTATACTTAGTAATAGATTCATCCCTGTGAGGGTAGGGAAATCTTTTCTGTTTTAGGTTAGACTCTGATTTGGTTTGAGTTTGAGGTATAGTGATGTTTTCCTTGTATGTTTCCCAAAAGGGGGGAAGAAAGACAATTATGTATTTAAAATTGAGATGCATCTGGCAATTGGTAATCAAGCTTTTAAAAAAATATCTAATAATAGCATTGACCCCTTTAAAAATTGGCTTATGCTATGAGTTCATATTTGTTATAATTTGGGAGCTTAAAAGAGATGATGAAAAGCTGCTACACATATTATAAATGACTTTTTTAACTTCAGAATTCTCAGAAAATTGACCGATTAGATGGTGCACATGCCCCAGAGTTGACCAAAAAAGTTCAGCGACATGCATCTAGCGGCTCCTTCCCACCCAGTACTAACGAGCATCCTAAGGAAGATCTCCACGTTCGCCTGAAGAAATTAACTCATGCTGCCCCTTGCATGTTGTTTATGAAAGGAACTCCTCAGGAGCCGCGCTGCGGTAAGAAGCTGCTTTCACAAAGACACACAAAATGGGTGCTTCCACCAGCGCAGGGTGCGGCCCAGTGCCTGTCTGTTCCCGCTGTACTGTTCATCTTATGCTTGTGTTGAGATAACTAGAAAATCAGGAAGGTCGCAATTCCCACTGGCATTCTGTAGTGAGGTGATGAGAATTAGTTTACACCACAGACACAGAGAAGGTTGGAACCCAGAGGCATCACAGAAATACGTGATTGGAGGTTTTTGCTTTATATACATAAGTACCCAAAGATGGGGAGGCTGCTCAGGTCACCTCGAAGCGGAGTTGGGTTTAGATTCCAGCCACCATGTGTTGTCACCCGAATGGGCTTTTGTTTCCTCAGTTCCCTTTGCTATTAACAGTTTCCTGTCTGTCTTGGCAGTCTCTCTTTGTTCATGTAGTCCAGATTCAGCAGTTTAAAAATTGACAGACGTTTGGTGGCATTCCTGTGTCTCCCCTGCACTTTTGCCTTCCATTTTGTTCTATTGTTTATTGGTGCTAATAATTGAAAGATTCTGAATTCTGTGGCTTTATAGTCACTCTTATTTTCTATACATATATGCTTGTAATTTTGTCCTTAAGTGAGTTTTAGAGTTTATTTGACCCCTCTGGTATTGGGTTTATGGTTATTTTCTTTTTACTATGCCTAGTACAACATTATTATGCTTCATAATTGAGCATTTAAATGCTTTTTGATGATGCTGTTGAGAATCTGAGAGTATTTGTTTCAACTGTACAGTAGGGAGTTTATTAAGATAGGTGGCAGTAAAATTCAGTGTGCTATTGATATGATTACTGCATGTCCAGTGTGACTTTATAAAAATAACTTAGCTTCCAGTGTAGATTTAATTGTAAATTCTTCCATGTGTGGTTAGCAAATTACATATTAGATTATGAGAGTCTAGTTTTAAAAATAGTTTTGGGTGCCTGGGTGGCTTAGGCAGTTAAGCATCTGCCTTCGGCTCAGGCCATGATCCTAGGGTCCTGGGATGGAGCCCCCTGTTGGTGGGGCTCCTTGCTCCAAGCCTGCTTCTCCCTCTCTCTCTCACTCTCCCTCTGCTCATGCACACACACGTGCTCTCTCTCTCTCTCTCTCTCTCAGTCGAATAAATAAAATCTTTAAAAAATTGTATGATTTCATGTTGAGTCCTATCTTAAAAAGATTAAGAAATGGTTCCTTTTTTCTCTCAGTTCTACTTGAAAAATGTCCTTGCTAGTATTTGTGTATCAGATAATGCCTGCTATTTATATGTCAAAAACCTAACTTAGTCTCTACTAGAGTTGACTCCAGATAGCAAAAGTGGTCTCTGTGGTGGTTGTTTTTAATAGGAGTTGCAACTGGTTTACTTTCTCCTATCAGGCAGGAAAATAATTTCTGGTACTTTATGTGGTGACCTGATAACAGGGACTGACGACATGAATCTGATGGGTTTTATTCAGTGTCTTCCTTGACATCTGAAATGCAGCTGACCTACTGTCACGTGGATGAACCTGTATGATGGGTTATACACAGTAAACCTATGGTAAAACCAACAGAATATTCTCTCCTTTGGAACTGAACAGGAGCATTCTCTTACTCCTTCCTGAATGATAACCTAACAATAGACTGGCAGGTGACAAAAGTATAGTTTTGGAAAATGTGCTAAGGCAGAAGGGTAGGCAGCGCACTGGGAAGCAGGGTGGCCAGATGTCACGGCCAGTGAGTCAGATCCTGACACCACCTTATGCTACCTGCCCCAGTGGCTTAGATCCAGGTCAGGAGCCCTCCCTGTACCTGCAGTCCTCCCTTCGGTGGTGGTGTGGTTGGAGCCAGTCTTGGAAATCCTTTTCAGATCAGATGTTGTATGATTATTCAAATAACTTAGAATTGCACTTAGAAATAGTCATTTTTCTGCTTACCCTTTATTTCATTAGACTTAATTTGTGGTATATTTCTAGCAATTTGTATGTTAACTATCTGCCATTTAGAAGACTATAAATAACAAGGTAGAATAAAAAAAAAAGCTTTACAATATGTCAGAACAATCTGAAAAACAGAGTATTATAGACTTTTAGATAATAAAAGACATAATTAGGGAATTCAAAAGAGATTTTTAGATATATATTATTTAAGTTATAGTTTCATTCCAAACAAGTACTTGCTTTATAGTTTTTTTTTTTTAAGATTTTATCTATTAAAGAGATTGTGGGGGGGGGGCGGTGGGCAGGCCTAATATCAAGCAGACTCCCCTACTAAGCACAGAGCCCAACATAGGACCTGATCCCAGGAGCTTCAGATAATGACCAGAGCCGAAATCATAAGTTGGACACTAAACTGACTGAGCCACGCAGGCTGCCCCCATTCTTCATAATTTTAACAGGCTTTTCTGTTTCCTGATACCTTGTTTTCTATAACATGTTTTTCTGTCAAATACAGTAAATATGTGACATTTGGTAAATAGATCATTTTAGAATGTAAGTATTCTTTAAAAAAATATCTAAGGATCAAGTAGGAGATATTTTTCTTGTGATTATACCCTGCCACTTCCTTCAGAGCACCTCCGGCTCTGTTTTCCCCCTTCTCTGTGCCCTGCTACACACTCTTTTCATCTCTAAACTGTTCTCTTATATAGGAACATACTTGACTTTCACCCTTGTCCTTTCTGAGCCTGCTTATTGGAAAATAGGTTTTGTTCTTGTGTTGGCACATTAGAGATGAGATGTAGGCAAAGTCTCCTTAATAAAAGAAAGCAGCGACCGTCGGTGCTCACGAACACGGCTGGCCGGTGTTTCCATATTTTGTGCAGAATTCCTTTGGAAGGCCCTTCTGTCAGGAGCACCCAGTACCCCTGCTGGGCTACCGTTGTGGAGTAGGGCTATGGTGATTTTTGGTTAGCTGGCCCCACCTTGTTTTCAGTTAATCAAAAACCATGAATGAATGACATTTAAATTTTCCCTTAAGGAAACCTTGAAAGCCCTATCAGGATCTGCTGTGGAGCTGGCTGGGTCTCAGCCTGACTCTCCATGCCTCAAACCCCGTCTTCATTGCTTTTACTTTTGGGTTCTACCAGCAGAAATGTGTCGTGTATTATGAGCCTGACACGTTGATATGGTGTTAATCGTCAAAGAATTAGATTATTCCTTTTCTATGTTCCTCAGGAGGACAGGAAAGAGAGGGCTCTCATGTTTTAGGCAGATTTTCAAGAAGGACCGAAATGTACATCTTTTTAAACAGAATGTTAAATCCTTGAACATGCAGGTTAATTAAGTTATTTGGGAATTCTTGTATCCACTTCAGTTAACAAAGCTTTTAGCAAAGCAAAGGGTATTTGAACCATGGGACAGACCTTTCTTCTGCAGTAAAAATCATCTGAATGGGGTTTTCTTTTTTAGATCAGACACAAGCATTGTAGGTTCAAAAGTGGGCTTCAGGGTTTTATTGTGACTAGATAGTGATGAAATGGCCCAGTTAGGTGTACTATTCACGCCTCCTGTCATGAATACAGACAACTGCAGACTGAAGTACTGGTTCTCTGGCAGCTAAACATGATTTTTCCACTTGTACATATTTTTATTGCATGCGTGCATTTTTCTTTAAAAAAGTGTGTAAATACTGTGTTATTGGAAGGAAGCCTTTTCACTCTTTTATCCTTAAGCATAACATTTCCAGTCTGCCACTTTAACCCTTAAAAACGAAACATTACCCATCAATCTTTCTAGTCTGCATGTAATTGCCTAAAGCTAAGAGAAAGCTTTTCCTCAGCCAGTTACAGTAGAAATGAGTTAATATATTGGCAACAGAATAACCATCAGCAATCAGCCGTTAGCTGTTTACTAATGAACTCCCAGATGAATGAAAAAAATTTCAGAATCAGTGTTTTACTTCAGGCTGTACATGAACTTAACACTTGAGTTGTAGGAAAAGCAACTTATATGCTGTACAAATAAATACCAATGCTTCATCTCAATAAACTGTGGATCTGAAAAATGTCTGCAGCTCAGTAATACATCCAGGTTTTAATAGTAAAAGTGCTTTTGCATGACATCAAAGTGAAGACTATTCTTGCAATTAATCTTATACTAAATTTTATGATTTGATTTTATTTCAAAATACTTGCTGATGCTGTGAAATCCTATAGGAATTTTGCACCTAAAGAATAGGTAATTTTCCAGTGAATTATTGACTACCTTTAAATAGAAGGATGGAACGTGAACGAGTGGATTGGTACAAAGTATTGAAAAACAGTTGGGAAGAATTAGCTTATGGAAAGAAAAATATCCTCTTTTCAGACAAGACTAATAGATTTATAAAAGACTGATACACTTATTCTTCAGTACTAATGTGATAATAAGAAAATGATGTCAAAAAAGTACAGGACAAAAATGTGTCACAACAGTATAATAAAATCATGGAACATAAGAGTGTCACTACAGTGCAGTAAAAAAAAAAATCACATTACATACTTTGGGGAATGTAAATAGTTTTTAAAAAGAGACTGTCAAGTTATGGTACCAGATGAGAAAGAACGCTGGTGGTCTGTTGATAGTGCCTATATAACAACAGACAAGACAGCTTTGAAATTCAATGTACCAGTTTCAACTGCAAGAACACATTCCTCCTTGACATTTAACGTATTCTATTAAAGATGGTAAAAGATTGGGAAGTACTGAAACAGGCACACAGGACTTAGTAGTACAAGGGCAACAGAAACCAAACAGTCGGGTTTCCAGTGTGTGCAAGGAGCGGTTATTGACAACTGGTGTGGTGATGCTTAGAGAGTCACAGTCAGCATAACTGGGGAGGGGCTCTCTGGGGCATCCAGGTCAGTCCCCTGATGGATGGGGAAGTGCAGGGAGGGGAGGTGGTAGTTCAGGGCTCAGCTCTTGGTCTCCCTGGTGGGTGGAGTAGGTGCCAGGGTTTTTGGGCCAGCATTATTGCTCCTACGATAAAAAGTATGCCTGAATATTAAGAAGTACATTGATAAATATACATAGACTTTTAAAAACTCACAAGTGTGTTAAACACTAAGCCATACTTGAACACATGGTATAGTTCAAGGTCACATAAGGGGTTCTTGGAATTTTTTCTCTTTACATACTGTGTCGGCGTGCAAATTAACGGGTGAAACAAAGGCAGACCCTGTGGTCAGCAGCTAGTGTGCGCTGTGTAGGAATTTGAAATCATGGGTATGAGAGAGAGAAGCTAAATTCTTGATTTTCTTTTTATTACGCAGGTTTCAGCAAGCAGATGGTGGAAATCCTTAACAAACATAATATTCAGTTTAGCAGTTTTGATATCTTCTCAGATGAAGAAGTTCGCCAGGGCCTCAAAACCTATTCCAACTGGCCCACCTATCCCCAGCTCTACGTTTCTGGAGAGCTTATAGGAGGACTTGATATAATTAAGGTTAGAACTGAGAAGTCTGTATCTGGTAAAGCATTTTCATTTACAGCACACTTTTCTAAGTGCAGTAATGAATCTAGAGTGTAAATTCCTTAAGAATATTTGTATTTATGAATATGAACCTGGAATAGATCCAATTATTTCTGATGAGGTTGTTGATATTCTGTATTACTGTATGATTCTGGAGATTTCTGTTGTGAATGTTTTCTTAAACTTACACATGTGTTTATTTCAGGAGCTGGAAGCATCTGACGAACTAGATACAATTTGCCCTAAAGCTCCCAAATTAGAGGAAAGGTAAGTGTTTTCAAAGTTTCAAATAGTGTGCCATTTATTACTTTAAGTATATCTCTTAATTCTTGGTTTTTGCATTGCTTTTTCCATATAGAAGTCGGGGATTTGTTTTTGTATGTCAAGGTCATAAATAGGTTGTTTGCAGTCAGACTAGCCATGAAAACTTGGGAAGGTCTCATTTGCACTGGAGAAATTTTTACACCAAATTAAAGATTAGGTGGAGGATATTCTTTGTTATTTATAGAAAAGTCATTGTGTCAGTGGAACAACTCAAGTTTACTTCTTTCTCTGTTTCGGAGCCCGGATCCAGTGGTCCTGGTCCTCAGGTTTCAGAAGCAGTCGCTGTTCGTGACATCATCAGAGTACGGAGTGTGAGGGGTGCCTAGTGTGAGGAGTGCAGGCTATGTGTGTGTTACATGTGTAAACACTTCAGGGTTTCACGCTGTCTTTTTAACCATGATAACTTAGAATTCAAGGAGATTTTGGAGCTGTGAAATTGGTCTTTGTTTTATGAAGGATCTCAATCAGCTTTTAAAGATTTTGTCTTATGGAAATTTTGGACTTTGGCCTGTAGGGAGGCTTAAAGGGATTTTTATTGTAATAAATTTGAATTAATGTAGAGGTTTAAAGAATTTATTTTGAAATACATCAGCATATCAGCCATTCATAGTTTGAGTCTGTGAGGTGAAATTTCCTCTTGTAATTTTATCACCATTCAGCATTTTGAGAATCTCTTGAAGTGTTTAATAATAAATAGCTCATTTATTTATCCTTGATTAGTAAATAGTATCCCATATATGTCATACTGACTTGTAAGTTCCACATTTTCTCAAAAGATTTATATCCTTTCCTGCCTTTTTGATAGGACAGTGATGCTTCTAGTCCCTTTGTTGACTCTAGGTCCCCAGTTGTGTTTTTTTAGGGTTGGGGGAGGGGTAGAGGGGAGAGGATCTCAAGCCCACTCCACGCCCAGTGCAGAGCCTGATGCGGGGCTTGATTTTGTGACCCTGAGATCATGACCTGAGAGAGACCAAGAGTTGGATGCTCACCGACTGAGCCACCCAGGTGTGCCCCCAGTTGCATTCTTTGCAGTATAACCTGAGTGGCTTGTGGAGATTGTACAGCCTCAGGAGTTCGCTGGACTTTGTGTGTGCTTACATCTGCTTTCAATCCAGTTTTCTGTCTTGACTACACTTGCTGTTGTTTGTGTCTCTGTCTTCATCAGATCTCTCTCTTTTCCTAATGTGCTGTGTCTATTTCCTTGTGGCCTCAGACACCAAAGATAACTGGCTAGAGTTACAGAGAGATCTTGTAGAGAGATATATTCATTGTGTTTTGTGTAATCATTTAAAGTGCTGCCAGAGTGCATAGAGCCAGAGCTGGAGTTCCTGGGTCTGGTGATTGTCTCTGTGGGTGGGACAGAGGGACTGGTTTCGGTTTTCTGGGTCCAGATTGTTGGGTTACTTTAGGTGACTGATGACAATTAGCACCATATTCTTTTCTTTTTCTGAGAATCAACCCAGCGTACTCTCTCCAAAGTGGATGTGACATAGCTGTGAGTGTGAGTTGTTGGTTTCATTTGTGATAACTTTGTTCTCTGAGGAGGTTTTGAGCTGTGAGAGTGACCCACAGCACCAGTGGGAGGAAGATGGGGTGACTGACCACCATGGGGCTCAGAGGGTCTTGGGTAGCCCGTGTCCCGATGGGGACTGTCCTGAGATGGGTGACTGAACTTCAGGCTTTATGCAGACGCTCCTGACAGCAAGTTAGAGCACGGGGTTTGAAGGCTTGTAGAAAATGGGAAGCACAGAGTTAGGATGGGAGCAATTGATTTGAATAGCTGGTGTTGGTTGGTGTTCCAGCACTTGACAGTTCCCCTTCCGGTCGTGACCTCATGGATATCAGGGAGTGTGGAGCTGTGTGCGACCTCATGGTAAAGAAGACAGCACACAAGATCTGGTTTTGGAAGTTGTGGGTGGGCTCTGTATACAGGCCCTTCTTGAACAATTCCTTATTGAGTTGGTTATTATTATTTTTTTAGTGCTGTGAGTTGATGGGCTTGAATTGCAACTCGAAGGAACATTCGTTGCCTTAAAAGCCATATTGTGTTTTATGGTGGCTCAGGGAGAGAATGAAATAAAGGAAAATGTCAATGCATTTGCTTGTTTAATGCCACTCAGAGCTGTGAACTATCATCCTGCTATCCCTCAAATATGCATGTTACTCCTGAAGCGGAGCAAAAGTGGTGTTTAATAATTGAGCTGAGCCATTTCATATCAATTTTCTCTCTTTAGGCTCAAAGTACTGACAAATAAAGCTTCTGTGATGCTCTTTATGAAAGGAAACAAACAGGTAAAGAACTCAAATATGGTTTTATTTGTAATTTCTTTTGATGTTAACATCTTCAACAAGGGGACACTTAAATCTTTCTTCCTAGCTGTGGCTAATGAAGCTGTGGTGGCATCAGGAAGTTATCCAGGCCTTAATTGGTGCTTATGGAGATCAAACAAAGTAATCTACATTTTGCTTGACTTTATCATCAACATCTCAGTGGGGTGCATTTCTTTCTGCTGCCAAACTTGGTCAACACTGTTCACTCTGTCCTGGTTCTGTTAGTTGCTATCCTGTCACCCTCCGACTGAGGCCGTGGGCTCATGTAATGGGCAGTTTGGTCCCAATACTTCCTGAGTAGAGGAAGCCCCAGAGCTCTCAGGGTGCACAGCCTTAGATCATCCTTTAAGAAGTCAGCGATGGAGAAATAAACCCCATGGCATCGTGTGTGTTCAGCATGAGTTTGATGAATGAGTGAAACAGTTTGGCAGTTCTTATTTATAATGAGATGGTTCCTGTAGCTTTTTGGATGATGGTACATATTGGTTGTGCATCATTTTGAGTAGCAGGTTTGATAAATCACTCCTACCAAGTTTGAGCAAAACTGATGATCATTTGTATTTGGACTGGAACGGAGATCTCCAGACACCAGGTTCTCTTACCTGCCTTTATTCTCATCCAGCTGTGGAGGCGGGCAAGGTGGGACAGCATGGCCTGTTTTGGAAGAGCAGAGGCTACAGCCCTGAGAGGCGAGACTGAGGGGGCAGAGAAACTCGCGTTTACATTCCCTGTTGCCCTGGCACTGTGCAGGCATTTGGGCCCCCTGCGTAACCTCCCCGGGCTTCACTGGCCCATGTATGAATGGATGGGGTGCTTCACAGAGTCACCTTGAGAATGAGGTTGAGAATAACTAACTAGTGTGAGAGTTAATATAAGTGATATGCTGAAACTAACTAGTTAACATAACTGGTCAGTGTAACTGTTACAGTGAAGGTAATGACTAGGAAACTGGTAATAAAGGTATCTGCATACTGGGATCACTAGGTTAGGACCTAAATTCCTTGACTAGTTCACCAGTTTTATTAAAATAGAGGAAATGAATACTTCCCAGTTGTGATATAGTTTCTATTTATATTTTGTTGGTGATTATTTAAAACAGATTTTTATTTTTAAAACACAAATTTTTCTAGGAGCCCAGCCAGTTTATATATGTCTTGGGAGCAGAATCATTTGTGCTGTTAAGTTTGTGTGGTACCTAGTCTTTTCCACTGGATTGCTGGGATTTGGGGCCTGATAGAAACGTCTAACAGTGTCATCGCCTCAAAAAAATTAAAAAAAAGTCTGGTACTCTGTAATGTAAAGATAAATTTTTTAAAATGGGAGTGACTGCCTAGTTGGCAACAGGAAGATGATGATCCTAATCACTGCAAAAAGGTTAAGTGAGGTGAGGTCATCTGTAGGAGTGAAATGGAGATCAAGGCCCGAACTCTGTAAAGCATCAGGGTTCCACCAGGGGAACCTCTGACCAGAGACTAAGGTTCCAGGGCTCATGCCCTCTCTGGTGGTTAGAGCCTAAAGTGTGCTGTTCCCGTGACAAACATTCCATGGGACCTTGCCAGTAGGCTGAGTGGAAAATATAATACATCTTCACTCATTACTGCATTTTTTTCCCCTAAATTTAGGAAGCAAAATGTGGATTCAGCAAACAAATTCTGGAAATACTCAATAGTACCGGGTACGTAAATCTTGTTTTCAAATAGGGTAAGAAATTTGACTTTTCAGTATTGCCATTGATGCCTCTCAGTTGTTACCACTGTATCCATGTTTTTATTTACTTTTGCTACAGGTTTTTTGTGAATGCTTTAACTTTGATGGTAATAGGATTTTCTGGTCAGTGTCAACGGATTGGTAACATAAAGAAGCTTCTTAAAAGGGGATCATTGAAATAACTATTTGTCTGCTTTCCCAGAGAAAAGTCCTTAACACACACAAAGATATTTTAGGGAAGGTATATCACAGGTTTTTAATTTTCCTTAAAAATTTTTTTTGATTCTAAATAGTTTATGAGATGGATAGAGCACATGTGAAGGGCGTTATGTGCATCTGAGAAGTGGGGTGAATTAAATTGCTGTGTTCATGGTTTTAATCTTGTCAGTGATGACGCTGCCAGCTAAGAAAATTGCGTTGATTTTTCTGAGTAAAAACAAAAACTTTTTTTTTTTCCTCAAAACTCCATATTGTATAGAATTTATCAAATGTTTTGGCTTTTTTCCCCTTATTATCTCATGATAGCTTTTTTTTTTTTTTAATATTGTAAGTATTTTAGCCATAGTTTGAAATAGATTAACTAAACCTATGAAGTTATGGGAAAGGTAATATTTTGAAATATTTAGATATTCATAGGCAGGGTTGAAAGTAGTCAGTTGAGTAGTACATGTTAAATATCACTCTAGGGACATAAAAAGCAAAATGATTGATTTCTTCAAAAGAAGCTTGTGACATTTTACAGAGAGAGAGTCTAGAGAGTCTTTTGTCGTTTGGCCTCTAGGCTGCCCCTTCCTCACTGTGCCCGAGGACATATGGGAGATGGCTGGTTTCTGGCCATCAGTTATTACAGCCCCCTTTCTCCGTCTTCTCTCTGTGACAGCTCCCCGGCATGATACACATAGTTCACCTGTCCCTAGTGACAGTGTGTCCCCTTGGCGTGTCCCTCCGCAAGGTTGTGATGGTACGACAGCATCGGGCCATTTCATTTCAGCTCATGTGTTTGGTGGAAAGTCTCCGTAACTTTGCCTCTACCCCGTATCTGTCTGCTGCTATTTGGATTTGCAAGTCCTGGTTATCCCAGAGCAGAGAGGCGGCTTTGGGGACAGATGGAGTGCTCCCAGCTGCAGGCTTCCTTCACAGTCGGCTCTGCCATGAGCAGGGCCGTGGGAACCTCTGTGCCTCTTTAGCTTGAACAGAACGTCATCTTGCTAAGAGCTATCAGTCTGTGGAGAAGAAGCTCCTGGCTTTTTATTCCTGCCCCCTGCACTCTTTTTTTTTTTTTTTTTTTTTATGATAGTCACAGAGAGAGAGAGAGAGAGAGAGAGAGAGACACAGGCAGAGGGAGAAGCAGGCTCCATGCACCGGGAGCCCGATGTGGGATTCAATCCCGGGTCTCCAGGATCGCGCCCTGGGCCAAAGGCAGGCGCCAAACCGCTGCGCCACCCAGGGATCCCAGCACTCTTACACTTACTTTTCCTTCCTGGCCCTGTGACTCGTGCCTGGAGGGGCTGTGTATGGATTGTGCATTGAGGTTTGAAGGAACCTTTTTTACAAGGAACTCTTAGGAGATGCCTTGGCGATCATGATGACATTCACACATCTATGGACGTGTGGGCCTGGGCCCCCTTTGGAACCCCCTCGGAGGTAGTTCTGTAACTCATTGTTTTCATCACACTGTTCAGGTTGGGATCTGCCTCCTTTACTTCAGTCTGAAGGGAGAGTTCCATTGGATCTTTTTGTTTTAATCTTCTTTTGCTCTTTCAGATATTCCTGTTTTGGTACTTGGTGCTGAATTATCCTGTCATTTTTTTTTTTTTTGACTGTTTTCTGTAGCATGGACAGTTTTCTTGGAAACTTGTCTACTAAGTGAAGATTTCCCTACGACAGTGGTTTTGGTTTTATAGAAACCAAAATTTATTTTTTATATGTGGCATTCTCTTTGGCCAGTTTTTGGGACCGCACATACATCCAGTGTCCCTGTGGGAGTCCTACATTCATACTCCTTCCTTGACCACCTGATAGTGGCATCCTTCCCAGCAGATATGGTTGGGTTTCCGTGCAGCAGTGAATGATTTTGCATTCATTATACAAGTGGTATTGATTATTCAGCCTCAGGCCGTACCACTCTCCCTGTGTACGCTTATCGACAACAGCATGTGTGTTCTGAAATAAGTTTGTTTTCATGTGAGAAAGCACACCTCCATAAGGTAGCATTTGTTGGCAGTGCAGTTGTCCTGCCTGGTGAGCCTCTGGGCCAGCCATGGGTGTCCTTGGGCATCAGAGCTGTTCCCTTCTGCTCCCTGAGCAGCTTCCACTAGGTCAGAAGCAGCAGCCCCAGGGATGAGGGCTGGAAATGCCGTGTTAAGGATAGACTTGTGTAAACTTTGGGTACAAGTCTAACCTGGGGGTTGGCACACTGCAGCTGCCACCTACTTCTGTCAGTAAAGTTTTACTGGCACATGGCCTCACCCACCTTCTTCCTTGTCAGGCTGCTGCTGTGCTATGTAGCCCAGTAGAGCAGCTGCAGCAGACTGTGGCCTACAGAGTCTACATGTTTACTGTCTTGCCTGTTCAGAAGAAGTTTGCTAGTCCCTGTCTAACCCAGTGTTGTAGAGAAAAATCCAGATATATTTGTGTCTTGGGCTGAGTTGTTCTGTGTGGTACCAGCAGATTGAGAAGTAAAGTCATGTCCATTTTCCACAGTAAATGTCAATAGCAACCAGTTTATTTTTCTTGACAATTTTTAAAACACCAAGTAGGTTTTACAATTTTTATTTAATAAAACCATTTCCTATTAAAATGTTTTCTCCTTTTTATAGTGTCGAATATGAGACATTCGATATTTTGGAGGATGAAGAAGTAAGTTCTGTGTTTTATGTTTCTTGTCCTTTGTCTTTAGTTTACTCATTAGGGTCCAATAGTAAGGTTTCAGAGTTCCTGTTGTTTCCGTAGGTCCGGCAGGGATTAAAAACTTACTCCAATTGGCCCACGTACCCTCAGCTGTATGTGAAAGGGGAGCTTGTTGGAGGTCTGGATATTGTTAAGGTAAGGTTGGAGTTTATCGGGTACCTTAACGATGGAAAATATTGGTATGTTCAAAAATTATAATTTTAGGGGAACCTGGGACTCAGTTGGTGAAGTGTCTGCCTTTGGCTCAGGTCATGACCTCAGGGTCCTGGGTTCGAGTCCTGTCTCAGGCTCCCTGCTCTGAGGGGATTCTGCTTCTCTCTCTCCCTCTGTACTTCTACCCCCCGCTTATGTGCTTTCTCTCTCTGTCAGGTAAATAAAATCTTAAAAAAAAAAAAGAAATTATAATTTTGTATTGAACAGTGACTGTGGGGCTTCCTTGATACTTTTCCTTCCTGGCCTCCTATCACTTCTGACCCCGTGTTACCATTTCTGTGTCTGTAGTACTGGTTAGAGAACTTTTCTCTGAGGTCAGATGTCTGACGTTATAAGTGGAAAATAAGTAGTAGGTAACTGCTTCTAGTTCTGTTTTAAAAGAAGTTTTAATTCCTGTTTTTGTAATGAGAGAGGACTCCAGCCCAAGGGTGAGTGACATCAGCCCTGTGCGCCAGGACGCTTTGTCAGCACAGGCTGCGCAGCCTGTGGTGGTAACTCCTGCTGCCTGTGTTCCCCACTTGACATCACACTTTGTAACACAGTGAGTGAGGCATTTTTCCTAGTAAACTGGCCTCATTCTTGGAGGAGAAAAATAGGTTTAACATAGTAGCTCTCGAATAGCCCTGAAGCAACAGAAACACGTCTGCATTTGTTATGTTATATATACTTTTTATTTGTTTAAGACACAGACAGTCTTCAAACCCCAGATACTCCCGAGCCTGTTGTTGTCTGAGTGTTTTATCGCCTGTACCTTAGCCATTGCTAACTCTTGGGAAGATAACGATCAATAAATCTCATTTAATTCTAAAGCTGAGCTTCATGGGCCACTTCTTTAGGTCTGTAACAGGATGTTACAGGACTCTTGCTGTTCACCTGCTAAACACACATGTGGAAATTCGCGATACTGGTAACATCTTCCCCTGAGAGGATAGCTGGGGACAGTTCTTCGGTTTTGCCCCTTTGGGCTGTTTCTTGCAGAACTGAGCTCTTCATCTTTCGTTCCCTGGAAACATCAGTGATGTTCTACTTGAATGAACATCTGGCTGGCCTTTAGGAGCATTGAGGGTATTTTTTGTTGAACAGTTGAATAAAGGAGTCACCCAGTATTCAACAACTCTGCCAATCTAGTGTCGTGAGAAAAAGCGGCTGATGAATAGTACTCCGTGCCCAGTTCACTGGTGCAGAGTATTTGTGCAGAGTGAGGATGTTTGGATCAGGTGAGCTCTCATTAGCTGCAGTGCCGGTTAGGAGGGTCCCACGGCGTTCCCGCCGTGTGCCTTTGTGCTTAGGCCGTCCGCCCAGCCCTGAGATGAGGGGACCCTGAGCTAGAGAAGTGGTGTCACAGCTGTGGAGTCCAGGTTCTGCCTGTGGGCGGCGGGCCTCTCCTGGCCACCTGCACTCCGGGTCATGGGCTCAGAAACACCCTGTCTACTCCTTTAGTGCAGTAGGATGTCTGCTTGCTAATGGGTGATGGTAGGAGAGCTCTAGACCTCGCCGGGTGTTGTCTGGATTTGTGTGACAGAATCACACCTGTTAGGGTTTAACCAGAGAGGAGCCAAATGGATTTTAGTGGCTTTATTGTAAAGATTGATATTCATGCTGCTTACTAATGACCTGAAAATTTGCATCAAATGAAACGTTTATCTCAAGCTAGAAAGTCTCATTTTCCATTTATTGTCACATTTTAAATTGGATAGCTATGTTCCAAATTCTGAATCTGAAAGATAGCAGAAAATATTTCTGGATTTTTATATCTTTTTTAAGTAGTTTTTGGCCTTTTCACATACACTTTGTACTAGTACTGTAGCCTTTCCAGCTTGGGTTGGCATCGTGATGCCTGTGTGCCACCCTTGGGCCTGTAGGTGTCACGTGTATTGCACTTGAGTGGACTTGAACATCCCATTGCTGCTTTCTTCCACATTTGTGTTTGCACACCACTCACCATTGTCCCTCCTAAACAACTGCTGTTGTTTAAATAGAAGGCGTCATTGGGTTGCTTGGATTGCCTTGTGCGTTAATGCTGAACGATCTGTTGGTTTTCGAGTGCCTTCTACCTTCAATTTTGTAATCTGATGGCATACTCAGTTTTTATGGTGTGCTATTTGGTTTCCGTGTGTTGGTAGACTGGAGTTTCAATCCAACACACAGGCTCTCGGATTTCGATGCAATCTGAGATGGTTTGGACGCTTCCATTTTTTTGACTTTACCTATACGTGTTATTTTTGCTTTCTGTTTTTGTTGTTAGGAACTGAAAGACAATGGTGAGCTGCTGCCGGTGCTGAAAGGGGAGAACTAGGGACTGTTATGCTCGGTGCCCAACTGTTACAGGAAACACTTCGTCACGGTGGGGACGCTCACGACTCTGTTCTCAGAGACTGCTGCTCACCCAGTTAGAGTCGGTGTATTCCACAAGCTCGTGCTAAATTCATGTATGTTTTGTTTTTTCACCAAACACAATGCAATAAACATCTTCAAATCCGATTAAAAATACTTGTGTAAAACTGCATTTTTTTACAGTGATGTTAAATATATGGTAATTAATCTACTTTAAATTTCTTTTCATACTATGTGGGAATGAAGCAAGCTGAGAAATAGGCAGGCTTCAGAAGATGCAGAAGGAGGGTGATGGCGTCTGAAATGCATAATCGTAGTTAGAACAGCTCATAGACCAAACCAGTGGCTCCCCTCAATGGCCAAAGATCTCCTTACAGCTTGGAAAAATTCATCTGAAAATTTGTTTCTGAAAGCATCCCTGCACATGGCCCTGGTGAGATTGCAGAAGCGACATAGGGCTCTGCAGATTCGGAGACTCATTTCAGAAGGTAGCAGGGGCATGGTGGCAAGCGGCAGCTCAGAGGAAGATGGGTTCTCATGAGTGTCTTCCTACCCTCATGTGCTTCACAACAGGGAGAAGATCTGGAGGCTGGGGCAGAGGCATGAGAGGCTGTCAGTTTGGGTTAAGCACCACAATTTATTTTAATCATTATATTGAAAGCACTGATTTAGCTCTTAAATAGGCTGAGAGCATCCTGAGGTCCATGAAAATTTCAGTAGGAGTTTTGATCCTGAATCTCACATATTTATAGAATAGTTGCCCATTAGACCTTTGGGCATGAATCAAGGTAGTGGCTGGATTTGCCTCCACGGCTCTTAGACGTTTTTCAGTGTCCATGACACATGTTCCCTTTATTAGATTTCCCCAGTCTGCCGGTTTGGGTGGTTGAGGCTCCACAGAAATGTCTGGTGTTGGTAAGGAAAGAGGTGCAAAAGTCAGCGGATTCCATGAGAAGAAACCAGAGTGAAGTTAGCCTCTCACCGGGGCACGAGCACCTGGTGTCCCTGTGTTCCGTTGGACTGTGTGGAGGAGAGAGCTGACTTCTGTTGTATGTTACAAAGGGGAGTCTGCACAAAATCCCAAAGGTGGATATGGCCTTCTCACATCCTGTCAGAGGAGGATGCCGTCACGATGGCTTTCCTTGCCAGCGTGTGTAATTAGAGGGGGCGTCTTTGGGCACTGGCCCATGAATTTCTTTTTTTCCATGTAAAACAAATCATTGCATAAGTGAAACCTTTAAAATATAGATGGAAATGGAATTGTAACAAACTATTAAGCCGTTGGTGTTGGGGATGCCATGAACCACGGAAGAACAACAGTGCATAATTTTCTCGTATCTTGTGTCCCATGCTGAAAGCATCACATAGTGCTTTTGTGACTTTCGTTCTGTCTGCAAGCGCCACCTGCCAACAGGTCAGCTTTTAGCTTCACCTTACCCTAAGCAAGAATATCTTTGTTATCACAGATTTGATAAGCTCATTTTTTCCTAATGCATATTTAAATAAATACAATGCATACATTTTAGCAAATGCCCATCTCCAATTTGGGAACCACCGTTCTGGCCTAGGATGGTGGCTCTGATAACGTAAATGCTCACACATTGTAGGATGACCTTCCCTTCCTGCAGGTGAACTTGCATGATGCAAGACCTCAGTGGTGTCATCCTTGGTTGAGCGTCACAGTTTGAGTTAGGGTGAGTGTTCAGTATTTGGGGAGTTGTCACTTGGTTAAATTCTGTAAATGGTTGGCTTCATCGGCTCCAGGAATGTTGGAGTGGCAGTGTGCATATTTCTAATAGGTGTTTCCAGCTCGACACTGGGAAGGTCAGGGATCTCGTTCCTACAAACTGGTTTAGGTATTCCTAACCTGATTTTATTAAGGTATACTTTATGAGCAAGGCAAGCGATTCTTGGGCCCCACTGAACTTCAAGTTCTGTAGGCAGTCCCAGGTCTTATTTTCTAATAAAAATGGAGACTACCCTTATAGTAATGTTATGTCATTTTTAAAAAAAGATTTTTATTTATTTATTCATGAGAGACACAGAGTGTAAGAGAGGCAGAGACACAGGCAGAGGGAGTAGCAGGCTCCATGCAGGGAGCCCGATGTGGGACTTGATCCCAGGACTCCAGGGTCACGCCCTGGGCCAAAGGCAGTTGCTAAACCACTGAGCCACCCAGGCGTCCCAGTTTTGTCAAAATCGAAATCCTCTCTCCGATCTATAGATCCTAGGGAAGGTTACTCCCAGTGCTTGAGAGATGGTTGAGCCCACAAGGTAAGTGACCGTGTCATTGGGATGTTGCCCTGTCCAGGCTTTGCTTTGTTGGGAGACACTCCAGGCAGGTGCTGTTGGGAGGGTTTTAGTGAATTTGGATGTTTCAGAGGGAGGAGGGGTATGTGTGTGGGTCGCAGGGCTGAGCTGCACTGCAGTTGGAGGCGCGCTGATAAGCTTCTGCGGAGCAGGGCCCTCTGCAACCCCAGCTCTGCCTGTTAGCTGCCTCCCTGTGCTTTTGTCTCTCTGTAAAATGGAGCTTATCGTGGGGCCCCAAGGGACCTTGGCAGCCGGTTACATCTGCAAGGTGCAGGGGACAGCTGGCCTTGTGACTGGCCTCTTGAGCCGCATCATCAAGACTGCCCTTCCAGAAAGGCCCAGAGGAAGGCAGTAACTCCTCTTCACTTGTGTGTCCAGGCTAGAGTTAAATTTCTTCCCAGGGAAGTGTTCTTAGGGATTTGGCATCTACCTAGGGAGATAAGCCTCTAGGAATGGACACCTCCCCTGCTCCCTTTTAAGCTCTGATTTTGTTTCCTCACCAAAAATGGGAAAAAAAAAACCCAAACCAATGAGAGGAGTTGGGAATTCGTGCAACAAGGAACTCAGGATATGTCAAGACCAGCTCAAGGGTGCAGCTGTAGGGTTGGAGCTGGGGTCCCCATCCAGGATTGTGTGTCTCAAGGCCGAGGCCCCCTGCTGCCGTGAGGCCTCCCCAGTGAGAGTGCACAGTCTCACGCCTTCCGTGCGTGGTGAGGAGCGCGGGCTGCTCTCACCGGGGCTGCCCCTCTGCCGGCGTCAGGACAGGTGACCCTCCCTCCCGCTGCACCAAGTGACTCCAGGTCCGAGGGTTGGTTGAAGGAGGCCTCGCGAAGAGAACAGGATGGAGGGTTGGCTCTGCCCATGTGACAGCTTAGACGGTTCCATGGCCCATGGGCCAGCTGAGGCGTGTGGAGCCACGAGGTGCTGGCCTCTGCCAGGAACTCCTGGTCCCATCCGTCTTGACTGATGGCTGATGAGCTCAAAAAGGATGAAAACCATGATTTTCCATTTTCAATCCGCAAAAATCATATTGAGTTGGAAATTGAGATAGATTTTTTAAATGTTTTTTTTTTGTTTTTTGAGATTGATTTTTAAAAAATAGTATGCTTTCATAACTTGAAAATCTCATTTTAATAACTTAAAACTAGTTATACTAGTCATATGAAGTTTAATTGATCAGTAAAACAACTGCAGTCCATTGGAAGCGCCTGACTTAGGTCATCATCCCTCATCTCCTTGGAAAGCATCATACAGATGGAGACGTTAAAGGCTTAAAATTGAAATATGGAAACAATTTCTGATTTAATTTTTAATTGAAATCTGTTTTCTTAAATTTGACAATTGGTACTTGTTACCAAAATCCAAACTTCTTTTTCCTAAATAAAAGTAATTTGGTTCTGGGCACCTGGGTGGCTCAGTAGTTGAGCATCTGTCTTCGGCTCAGGGTGTGACCCTGGGGTCCTGGGATCGAGTCCTGCGTTGGGCTCCCTGCATGGAGCCTGCTTCTCCCTCTGCCTGTGTCTCTGCCTCTCTCTCTCATGAATAAATTAAAATCTAAAAAAAAAATAGTAACTTGGTTCTTTGCAGACAAACTTCTTTATATGTGTGTTTCAGATGTTGGGTTCTGGGAATGGATAGAAGTTGAAATAACTGATGCCTCATTCACTGGAATGGGTGGTAGTTCCAGGGACAGGTTTCCCTTGCTTCCCTCTGTGCACGGAGCGAGTTCTGGTTTGAAGGGAAAACACGGTTGCTCGGGGCCACGTGCTGCTGCTCGACGGTAGGGTGACCTGCTCACCTGGGCTCGCTCCGAGTCCCCCTGGCCTCCCTCCTAGGCATCGGGGCGTCAGGAATGCTGTGGGGGGTGGCGGGGAGGACAGTGGCCCTGCGTGTTACACGTGTCTTCACGCGCACACCCCATTACCCCACGATGCTCCTGCTACGCAACCCAGGTGCAAGGACAGAGTGGGAAAGGATTTCAAGGCGGCAGAGCACGAGGCCAGCGTGGGCGGGAGAGCAGGGCTGGGCGCTGACTGCAGGGCCGTGGACCTGCGGAGTGACAGGCGTGGGGATGGGTCCCTGAGGCCGGTGCCCTTCCCTAGAGCTGCTCTCGGCCGCTTAGCGCAACCGCCGCCCTGCCAAGGATCCTCCTCCCCGAACTCCGTCCACACTGTTCACTAGAGAAGCGGACGCGTAACCCCCGTCCGTCCTCCGCGTGCATTCCTGTGTCGGCGATTCAGCGCAACACTTAGGCTGTGAGTGTCAGGCACTGCCCGAAATACCGGACACGATAAACCACGAGGTCTCACACCCACGCTGCGTGGTGGCCCCGTCAACCCTGTGTTACAGACGCGGACGCTGGCCCGGGTCGCACGGTACCAGGCGGCCCTGCATGTGGCCCCGGGGCCTCTGCTTCCACAGTCCAGCCTACCGCCCGCCCGACTCTGAACGGCTCCGTCCTCCCTGAGCTGGGGGCCGGGGGCGCCGGGCAGGGCAGAGGGCAGCCTGTGCGCGGCCGGTTGGGATGCGTGCGGAGCTGGCATCGGAGGTCGGGGCAAGGGCCGGCTGCTGCTCCCACCGCTGGTTAGCACGGGATTGCCCCCCCCCGGAAGGCCGGGCGCTGCGAGGACCCAGGTCCCGGGGAAGCAGGGTGGGAAAGCAGAGTGGGGGAGCCGGGGTTCAGCCGAGGCGCCGTGCCCACGCCCGCCTGGGGCACAGCGAGTGGTCATCCTCCAGCTAGTGGCGGGCTCAGGGCGGAGATGGGGTCCTGGGCCTCGGGGTGGCTTTGGCACAGGGCTCCCCGGGTGTGGTCAGAGGGAGCCCCGCTGCTCAGGACAAGGCTTTCCTGCCTCCTGCGGGAGCTGCTAGGTCCCGGGATGGGTCACGGGGGTCATGCCCTGGGGCCGCCCGGGAACAGCCAGACTCTGCAGTGACCCTCTAATCCTGTGTGCAAGCAAGATAAGAAGCTTCTGCACAGCGAAAGAAACAGTCCACAAAACTACAAGACAACCTGCAGAATGGGGGAAGAGATTTGCAAATGACACATCAGATCAAGGAACTTATTAAGCTCAACAGCCAAGAAACAAACAGTCCAGTCATGAAATGGGCAGAAGACACGAACAGACATTTCACCGAGGAAGACACAGACACGGCCACCGAGCACATGGGAACGTGCCATGTGCACCAGGGAAATACAGTCAAAACCACGATGAGATCCCACCTCACCCCAGTGAGAATGGGGACAATTAACAAGACGGGAACCCACACATGTTGGCGAGGATGCGGGCAAAGGGGACCCTCCTGCACTGCTGGTGGGAATGTGACCTGGCGCAGCCACGCTGGGAAACTGGGGGGAGGTTCCTCAAAGAGGTAAAAATAGACCTGCCCTACGACCCGGCAACTGCGCTGCTGGGGATTTACCCCAAAGATGCAGACGCAGTGAAACGCCGGGACACCTGCACCCCGATGTTTCTAGCAGCCATGTCCACAGTAGCCACACTGGGGAAGGAGCCTCGGTGTCCATCGACAGATGATGGATCAAGAAGCTGTGGTCTGGGATCCCTGGGGGGCGCAGCGGTTTGGTGCCTGCCTTTGGCCCAGGGCGCGATCCTGGCGACCCGGGATCGAATCCCACATCAGGCCCCTGATGCATGGAGCCTGCTTCTCCCTCTGCCTGTGTCTCTGCCTCTCTCTCTCTCTCGCTGTGACTGTCATAAATAAATTAAAAAAAAAAAAAGAAGCTGTGGTCTATGTGGACACTGGGATATTCCTCAGCCATTAGACATGACGAATGCCCCTCATGTGCTTCGACGTGGATGGACCTGGAGGGTGTGATGCTGAGTGAAGCAAGTCAGTCGGAGAAGGACAAACATCACATGGTCTCATTCATTTGGGGAATATAAAAAAATAGTGAAAGGGAATAAAGGGGAAAGGAGAGAAAATGAGTGAAAATATCAGGGAGGGAGACAAACCATGAGCGACCCCTCACTCTGGGAAACAAACAAGGGGCAGTGGAGGGTGAGGTGGGCGGGTGGTGAGGTGACTGGGTGACGGGCACTGAGGATGAGCACTGGGTGATATGCTATATGTTGGCAAATTGATCTCCAATTAAAGAAAAAAAAAGCTCTAAATAAAGTGGAAGAAACGGTGCAATGACGCTGTCCCCTGATCTTGATGGATGCAGCCAGCTGGCCACCTGGGGGACAGCGTTTGAGCTGAGTCCGGTCAGGGTGGGGCTGGCCGCGGGGTCCGCCTCCCGCTCCGGCCTCAGGTGCCCCCCGCACAGGTGCCCCCCGCACAGGTGCCCCCTGCATAGGTGCCCCCTGCACAGGTGCCCCCCCCGCACAGGTGCCCTCCGCACAGGTGCCCTCCGCAAGGTGCCCCCCCCCGCAAGGTGCCCTCCGCACAGGTGCCCCCCCCGCAAGGTGTCCCCCGCACAGGTGCCCCCCGCACAGGTGCCCCCCCCGCAAGGTGTCCCCCGCACAGGTGCCCTCCGCACAGGTGCCCTCCGCAAGGTGCCCCCTCCGCAAGGTGCCCTCCCCGCAAGGTGTCCCCCGCACAGGTGCCCCCCCCCGCAAGGTGTCCCCCGCACAGGTGCCCCCCGCACAGGTGTCCCCCGCACAGGTGCCCTCCGCACAGGTGCACCCCCCCCCCCCCGCAAGGTGTCCCCCGCACAGGTGCGCGCCCCAGGCCCAGGAGCAGCTGGTGCGCAGGCTCGGGCGCGCGGGGAGGGAGTGCGCAGGCTCCGGGCTCCCGCCCCCCCCCCAGCGGGGGCCAGAAGCGCCAACTTTGCGGGGGCCCGGCCCGGCGCGAGCCCCTCCGCGAGGTAAGGCCCTGCGCCCCCTCCTGGCGGGTCCCGGGTGGGCCCGTCCGCGGCCGCAGGGTCTCGGGGGCGCCGCGGCCTCCAGCCCCGGGCGGGTGACGGCGGGCTCAGCTGCTGAGCTTTCCCGCCCCCGCGGCGGCAGGGCCGGGGGACCTCGGAGGGGCCGGGCGGGGTGGGGCGCGCGCTGCCACGTCCGGAGACGGTCCCTCCACGGCGTCTCCAGCCTCCGGCCCCGCGAGCTGCTCCCGCCCCCGGCGCTGCCCCTCGGAGCGGTCGGCGCGAGCTCGGACCCCAGGGGCCCCGGGCGGGCGGCGCGGCACGCGTCCACGCGGGGGCGCTGCACACCGCGCTCCGGGTCGGCCCGCGCCGCCCGCAGGAAGGCCTCCGGGCACCAGGGGGCGCGCGAGGACCGGGAGCGCACGGGAGCTGGCCGGCCGGGCCCGGAGCGCGCAGGGCCGTGAGCGCGCAGAGCCGTGAGCGGGCAGAGCCGTGAGCGGGCAGAGCCGTGAGCGCGCAGAGCCGTGAGCGCGCAGAGTCGTGAGCGCGCAGAGCCGTGAGCGCGCAGAGCCGTGAGCGCGCAGAGCCGTGAGCGCGCAGAGTCGTGAGCGCGCAGAGCCGTGAGCGCGCAGAGCCGTGAGCTCCGGGCCGTGAGCGCGCAGAGCCGTGAGCGCGCCTGGGGGACGGGGCCGGCGCCCCCCTCGCGTCCCGAGAACGCGCCCGGCGCACCTGTGCGGAGGTGTCTGTGCTCGCGGGGTCCGGCCGGGCCTCCCTGCCCTGGGGCTGCGTCCTCACACCCCGGCGGCCTCGTCTTCCCTCCCGGGCCCTGGGGCCTCGGGGGTCAGGGCGGGCAGGGACCCCCGCTGGGCGGGCGGGCCCAGACCTCCTGCTGCTGCTGCTGCTGCTGCTGCAAGGCGCCACCGTCCTTGGGGTGGGGGTGGGGCGCGTGCAGGTGCGGCACCTGGGGGCCTGGGCTGCGCAGGGTCCTCGGCGACCCGCGCCCGTCCCCGCCCCGGCCCACTAAGGGCCCGTCTCTCCTGGAGGGGCGGAGGGGATGGTGTGGGTGCTCAGGACTCACAGGACAGCTCTTCCCCCAGCCCCGCAGCTGTCTCCGCCCCGGCCACCTTGAGGTGGGCCCAGCAGACCTTCAGCGTCCCCTCAGAGGGCGCGGAGGGGCCCTGGGGAGGTGGGCACCGTTTGAGCTTAGATTTTATTTTATTTTATTTTTATTTTATTTTATTTTATTTATTTATTTATTTATTTTTTATTTTTTTTAATTTATTTATGATAGTCACACAGAGAGAGAGAGAGAGAGAGAGAGGCAGAGACACAGGCAGAGGAAGAAGCAGGCTCCATGCACCGGGAGCCCGACGTGGGACTCGATCCCAGGACTCCAGGATCGCGCCCTGGGCCGAAGGCAGGCACCAAACCGCTGCGCCACCCAGGGATCCCCCTGAGCTTAGATTTTAAAATCAAGATTTGTTTCCTAGACTAGGTTCAGATTTAGGGAAACACTGAGCAGGTGGACGGCAGGTGTCCCCTGTTGGAGCATCCGGCCTCCCTGGGGTCCATTTCGAATCACCAATGAGCTCGTATCGCTACAGCATCATCAGCTGAAGCCCACACTTTCTCAGAGTCCCTTAGGTCTTACCTCCTGTCCTCTTCTGCCCCCAGATCCCATACAGCGCTTGCTTGTCATGTCCCCGGCGACCTCTCAGGCTGGCTTTGTTCTCATGACCTCGACCGTCTCCAGAGTCTGGCCAGGTATTTCGGAAGATGTCGCTCCGAAATCGGGGTTTGTCTGAGGGCTTGTCGTGATTAGGTTGGGGCGGTGGGTTTGGGGGAGGAAGTCCCGGAGGTAAAGTGTGCTCCTCCTCACATCCTAGCAGAGGATCCATACTGTCAACGTGGCTCGCCGCTGCTGACCTTCACCTTGATCACCTGGCTCAGGTCACGTTTGCATCAGGTGTGGAGATGCTGAGTCCAGCCCTCGTGAGTCCCACTGTGGTCTTTGGAAGGGAGTCACCACGCACCCACACTTAAGGGGGCATCTTCAGGGGGAGTATTTAATGCATTGCTTAGAATTCTTCTACATGGAAATTTTGGGACATTTTCCCCTTCTTTCCATTTGTCTATTTGTCCAGTCACTGGTGTATTGTCAGTGTGGACTTATGGGTATTTAGTTTAGACATAAAGGTAGGAGAGATACGGTTTTAAGGTTGGGTAAGGCTGGTGGTGTAGACATGGCTTTTGTTATATGGGTCTCTGTTCTTGTCTGTTTGGACTATTTTTTTTTAATTTTTATTTATTTATGATAGTCACAGAGAGAGAGAGAGAGAAAGGCAGAGACACAGGTAGAGGGAGAAGCAGGCTTCATGCACCGGGAGCCCGACGTGGGATTCCATCCCGGGTCTCCAGGACCGCGCCCTGGGCCAAAGGCAGGCACCAAACCGCTGCGCCACCCAGGGATCCCCTGTTTGGACTATTTCAAATGAAGTGAAAGAAATGGGGTTAGGGCCATCACTGGGGGCCCGGAGCAGGCAGGTGGGCAGTCACTGGCCCCATGGCCCTGTGCTGGGGAGGACCAAGCCTGTACGGGTGGCCACCCCGGGTGTTTCTACCCCTTCTCTCTGACCTCGCTCCCTGTCTGGGGTTACATCCAGGGCTCCTGGGGCGCAGGCCCAGCTCCCGCCAGCAGCACAAACCTGCCATATTCAGTGCTCTTGCTCAGCCTGGCCCAGACCAAAAGCAAGTCTCAGACCTGCTGGACCAGGGCCCTGTGTTCCCAGAAGGCCTCCATCGGGCATGCACACAGTCTTCCACTGGCCAGCAGTATGGGGGCCATCCAGGAAAATGTGACTTTGCAAAGTTATGGGCGGGAGGACACCTGGGCCCCATGTGTCCCTCAGGGATCTTCAGACACATCCACAGTTTGTGCCCCAAATGGGACTGCCGTCCTTGGTTTGGAGCCACACTCACAGCCGAGGGGAGGCGTGTCCTTGGGGGCCCGGCCCCCTCTCTCGAGCACCCCCACCAGCTCTCATCCCTCACCACCCCCCCCTGCTTGGACTGCATCCCGCCTGGGCTGATGGATGTGGGCTCATTATCTTGTCTGTTTTGGGGGACGGTATTAGCTTGGCAGTTAATAAAGGATTTTAATTAAAGAGGGAAGACTCATTTTGGCAAAGTAGACTTGTTCCCAAACTCAAATGACCTATCAAAGTTAAAAGTTTGGTGTATTTCTGTACAAGATTCTGCTGCTTTGCGGGCAGTCCACCCTGGCACCCGGCGCAGACACTGGGCATCCTCCCTCTTCCCTGCTTCCAAAGCCCAACCGCCCTCCGGATCCTCGCTTCTTCAGGCTGTCCACCTCCTGCCGTCCCCAGAGGCCCCCATGGGTCCACACGTGCCCTCTGACTCTTCTGGCCTCTGTGTCCCCAGGGTTTGGCCTCCTGCAGGAGCTGCCCGGGCTCCGCGTGCCGTTGGGGCTGCTCCAGCCTGTTGTGCACATGCTGGGCAGTGGGGCAACTTGGTCGTAGGTTCCCACGCAGCTGTAAGAAACAACATAGAAGAATGCTGGTGCCCTCAGCTTGTTCCCCGTGAGGGGCATCATGCAGTTTGGGGACAGCGTGTCAGTGCCATTGTGACCCACCAACCTTGATCCCATCTCACCGGTTCTGGTTCCGTTTCAAGGCTGCGCCCCGACAGGTGCACTTACCTGGTGATCACAGCAGGATTCCGGTTTCCAACGTGGGGGAGCCAGGCCCACACCACCCTGTGCAGCCTGGCGATTTAATAGGACTCACTTCTTTCTGGGAGTGCTGTTAGTTATGCTTTTATGTAAATAGGACAAGTTTCTTCCTTTCTTTTTTTTTTTTAAAGGTTTTATTTATTTATTCATGAGCGACACAGAGAAAGAGAGAGGCAGAGACCCAGGCAGAGGGAGAAGCAGGCTCCATGCCGGGAGCCCGACATGGGACACGATCCCGGGTCTCCAGGATCACACCATGGGCTGCAGGCAGCGCTAAACCGCTGAGCCACTGAGGCTGCCCTATAGGACAAGTTTCTTGTCACCCCTTGTATCAACTGTCTGTGGCCACAATAACAGCACCCTGTCCCTTGACTCCCTCTGTCTGGCTGTCTGCGCCCTCGTGTGTCTGCTACCCACGGGAGGGGTCTCACATACATGGGGTGCGTGGGCTGGGCTGGGGGCTGGCTGACCCGGCTGGGCTCTGTGGGGCCTCTCATCCTCCCCCTGGCCAGCCTGGGCTTGTTCTCGCCATGTCGCAGCGTCCAAGAGAGGAAGTGGGCACCTCTGGAGCCCAGGCGGAGGCTGGTGGCCTGACCTTTACTCCGCAAAGCCGCCCCAGTTCCAGGGGCAGAGACAGACTGTGTCCCTTAAGGGGCTGCAAAGGTGCATTGACAGGAGCCAGGTTGCAGGGGGGAGAGGTGGGACCTGCCCTCCCGACCTAGGGTAGCAGCTGAGCGACAGAGACAGAGCAGGTGCTGGTGTCCCCATCAGCGTCTGGGAGGACAGGCATGTGCGTGCGTGTGCGTGCAGATACAAGCCCGTTTCCAACGTGTCTCGTTTGTGTTCCTGTCAACACCCCCGGCATGCCTTGCGACGGCCAGCACCTGAGCACGCATGGGAGTTGGGGCAGGAGCTCCCGCCCGGAGTCTGCAGCCGCCAGCAGAGTGTGGTCCAGGAGAGACCCTGAGATGCTGGCGCGTGACCTTGCAGAATGCTGCGTCCGTCCCCTGCTCTGGAGTGACTGTTCTCTGTGACAGGATCCTATGAGGACCCGCGGGCATGTGGGCCACGATGGGGCACCCGGTCCCCACTCCGTGGACTTGGCCAAGCTCCGTGAGTAGCTGGCCCCACCCATCCCCCTGGAGGCTCCAGACTGAGGGAGGCCTTTGGGGCATCTGGGCCTGCCCTCCTGGGGGCAACGGCTCCCGCTGATGCTCATCAGGCTGCCCCTCCCCAGGCCGGGGGGCCTCATGGGCCCTGAAGTGGAGAAGAAGCTCCCCAGCCCCCCACATTCCCTGTCTGCTCCAAACTCCCTCTGTCGGCGGGACCCGGTCACATTCGATGGAGCTTTCTTCTCTAGGGACCAAGCGTCTTTTATTAGGAGGTAAAAACTGATTTCTTTTTAGGGTTTATGGCTGAGACCCTCGACCCGGAAGACAATTCTGTAGGGAAAGAGATGGTGACGCCTCCAGTTCCTCCATGAACACTGATGACCTGACGTTTGCGTCTGTCGCGCCGAGCGGACGCCGCGGAGAAGGTGCCAGGTGCTCGGCCGCCCTCGGAGCCCGGGCGCGGGACGTCCTTCTCGGAAGCACCAGCGGCCCCACACAGATCGACGCCAGCTGCTCGCTGACAGGTTCCCGGGGAGCACGTTTGGCTTCCTGTGCAAACACGGGAATACCTGATTCCAAACGTGGATCAAGACCTATTGGAAGAAGGACAGCGGTTGGGTGGCCGGTCGCGATTGTGCCTCCTGCGGCCGTGGATCCCCGGAGAAGCGTGTCCCGTTTTGTCCTCGGGCTGCACGTGGGGTGGGGGAGTCTCACCTGCAGGTTTTCTGGGACACCTGGATGGTCCTAGCAACGTCTCTCCTCCCTCCCGGGCTTGCTGCGGCTCTCGGGCGGTCCGGGCCGCAGGACGCGGAGAGAGCGACTGGGTGTCCTGACGTCCAGGTACGTGCATGACACACGCGGCGGAGCTAAAAGGCATCGGGCCATGAGCGGCCACGCCCACTGGGTAGGGACGCACCTCCCTGGACCTGGCGTGAACCTTCACGTGGTCACCCGGTCGCTGCTCAACACACCCTCTAACTTTTACTCCGTGTTTCCGGCAGCCTGGGTGACGGGAGGCGTCCCGGCTGTGGGACCCGCGTCCGGGTTGGGTCCTGGCCTCCCTGCCCAGCTCCGAGGGCTTCGTCCAGAGCAAGGGGGGCCGCGTTCTCGAAGCTGGCTCTCTACAGCGCCCCTGCCTTTCCCCGGACTCAGACCGTAGAGCTGTTAGAAGTCAGAGGCTGGGCTCCGAGGATTTACAGGGACGGCCGGAGGGTGGAATCAGGGACTTTAATCAGGTTTTAGTTGCTGTGGCCTCCAGGCCTGTCAGCTTCCGAGATATTTGCATATCAGCACGCAGCCGTTCTGGGGTGTTAATCCTGTTTACCTCTCCCAGCACCTCCCTCCTGCCTTCCAGAGGTGTCTGACTTCAGTGGCCCCCTCCCGCCTCCCGGGGACTCCTGTGCTGGGGACAGCAGCCTCCTCTGCTCCCTGGGCGGAGCCCGCCAGCTGGAGGGTAGATGGGGTTCCGGTCAGAACAAAGCCTGGTTTGGGGGACTGGGGGTGGTGGGGAAGTGGGTGGGGAGTTGGAAGGTGGACTGGGAGAGGGAGATGAGACCACTGCCCCCCAATGGGTTCCTCCCCGGCTGGGGGGGTGCATAGAGCCCCACGGTCTCCCCAGGTGGTGGTGGGACTGCAGGAGGGGCCGACACTGGGATGGGGGTAGAGGGAGGTCGCCCCCTGAACCCCGGGCATGAGGCTCCCCAGGGAAAGGGTGGGGATGTCCTGCTCCCTGCCTCTGGCAGGAAGGGGTGTGGAGGAGGCCCCCTTCCCTGCTCCCCCCGTCCCCGGCCCAGGCTTTGGAGTCACCCACAGGGAGGCAGTGTGCTGGGGGAGAGTCCGGGCTGTGGGAGGAGAGCTGTGCGCTGGAGTGAAGGGGGTGCAGGCTGAGCAGGAGCACGGGGGTGGGGGGTAGGGGGGGTGGGGGGGTGGGGGTGGGCAGACCAGGGCTTGGGGCGGGGTGGGGGTGGTCCCAGGCAGAGACAAGCGCGGCAGGGACGGAATGGGGCTCTGGGCCCAGGGTGGAAGGGCAGTGGTGCGGTGCCCAGGTCCCTGAGGGCAGTGGGCAGAGGGTGGTGTTGGGTGGGGGTCCTGGTGAGGGGGCGAGGGAGCCAGGGGCTCGGCTGCTGGGCAGGGGTCGCCGGATAAGGCCAGCCTCGCTCTTCAGTGGCCCCTGCACATACTGAGCCCAGAGGGGCTGCTCGGGCCTGCGCAGTGCGGTGCGGGCAGCCCGTGTGGGGGGACCCCTGAAAATGAGTTAGGGGGATGAGCCAAAAGCATGTAATGTGCTGAGCAACTGAGGCGCAGGCAGGATGTTCGGGGCCGCAAGGAGCAGGTGTCCTGGGGTTGAGGCCCCTCACAGCCTCTGTGTCCCTGGGGACAGGGCCCTCCCCTGCCCTGCGCCGCGGCCTCAGGGTCCCAGGATGCTCCCAGGGCTACGGTGGAGCTGGGTGCCAGGGGGCGGGGGGCACGGGGGCTTCTTCCACTTGAGAGGAAGAGCGTTTGCCACCCCCTGCAGCCGGGCAGCTGGTCCCCTGCGGGAGGGACCCTGGCGGGGGCAGGAGGGGCATGTGAGCCCAGCCGGGCCGGAGCCATGCCGTTCCCCTGGAAAGGAAGAGCACAGATTAGCGCCGTATTTCAGAATTAACTCTTCCTGCAAGCGAGCATCACAAGTCCCGTAATTTCATTAGGAGCAATCTAAAACTCCCTTTGCTTTTATTAGTTTGGAAGCTGCTGGCAGAGTGGCCTGGAGGACACGGTGGCTCGCAAGACGGGAGGAGGAGACCCCTCCCCGGAGACCGTGACCCGCAGACCGGCCGAGGCCCGGCTTCTGTTTTTGAGCCCCCCGTGCCCACGTGCAGTGCAGGATTGTCTAGTGTCGGGAGGGACGGGGGACACGGGCCCCACCACGGGGGACACGAGGCGGAAATCAGCCGGTCCCAGGGCAAGTGCGGCAGGATTCCATCGTCGCCACGTAGACAGGGAGTGGACGGTGGCGTCGGGGTGACGGGCGCTCGTGGTTAACGGGGACAGAGCTTCGGTTGGGAAGGTGAGCCCGTCCTGCGGGTGGACGGTGCTGATGGCTGCACAGCAGTGTGACGTATCTGGTGCCACTGAACTGTGTCCTGCAAAATTGGCCAAAACGGTACCTTTTATGTTATGCATATTTTACAATTTAAAAAATAGAAAAATTATTTTTTGAGGGGACCCTGGTCAGCTTTGCACGTGAGCCCTCAGTGAACTTGCTCATCAGCCCCAGGTAGGAGGCGAGGCTGCCTGTCCGGTGCCGGGGGACGTGCGGGGTCAGGGGTGGGGGGGCTCCTGGGGCAAAGGCATCCTGGCTGCTGGCGTGACCTCTGGGCGTGACCTCTGAGCGTGACCTCTGCCCCTGTTTCTCGGAGTGAGGCTGCGAGGCTGGGAGGTAAAGACAGACACTGAGGAAGGGCTCTGGGCACTGAGTGTGGTTGCTCTGATGGAGCCCCGGGGTGAGGTCACTGTGATGGGGTGGCCACGTGTCCCCTGGCTCATCTCACGTCACCCCCCTGCACCATTACTAAGGCCTCCTGTCCGCTCCCCAAGGTGGCTCCTTGTGTGGGTGACATGTCCTAGGGCCACCCCTCCTAGGAGATGCATGGTGAGCCCAGCTCCTGCTGGGGGAGGAGGGCTTCAGCCGTGGGAGGGCTGGGCTGACGGCAGCCCCTCAGCAGCCAACCGGAGAGTTGCCCTCCGCACGCCCCAGGTCATGCCCTTCCCCGGGGGTCAGGTGGGAGCATCAGGCCCGGGTGCCCCCCTGGAGGGCATCCCAGTGTCAGAGCTCCCCAGGGGGGCCTAACCTTGCCCCCCACCCCTGTTCTGCTCCCCTCCCCTGGGGGGTCCTGCTCAGAGGGTCCCTAGGAAACCTCCTACACACTGGTGTCCGGGTCAGGACGGACTCTCCACGTCCCCGGGGGTGGCCTCTGAAGTGAGATGTGGGGTGGGCCATGAGGACCCGCCTCTGGCTCTGGAGGAGCCTGGCCTGACCCAGGTCATGCTGCCCTGGTGGATGGAGGAGGCGGCAGCAGGTGGCGCTGGGGGAATGTGGGGATGTGAGGACTTGAGGGCAGGTGGTCCCCAGGGACGACCTTGGCAGCAGCTGGAGCCCCGGGCCCCGGGGGCAGGGGCAGAGGACCTGAGATTCGGGATGGGGTCCTTGAGGATGTGGGGCCTCTGATTCTGGGGCAGAGAACCCGGCTTCTGCCCCTCAGGCCGGGCCTCCCCTCTGGGCCGCAGGTCATGGACGCGGCCGTGCAGTGAGGGCCGGGACAGGACACGTAGGGCTGGACGTGGTGCCGGGGGTAGTGTTGCTGGTGGGGCCCGGGGCCGGCGGCGGGGAAGAGTTCTGGAGTCTTCTTGGTGCACAAAGTGGTTTTGTAAAGCGGGAGGCGGGACCCCTGGGCCGGGGGAGCTGCCGGGATTGGGAGGAGCGGCCCATCAGGGCCTTGGGGTGGGCGGCGTCCCGGCAGGACGTCCCTGAGCTGCAGGAGGCCCACTGGACCTGGGCCGGCCGTTGTCCAGCCAAGGCGGTGCGTCCGCCCAGCGAGGCACCTGTGTTAGGACGCTGGGAGCCTCCCAGGATGCCCCCTCCGCCCCCTGGTGCCCGCCAGGCCGTGCGTTGTAAGGACATGGAATTGCAGCTCCGTGTCCCTCTGCCTCGTTTCCCACGTCGGGGCAGAACAGGGCACATGTGACGTGGGAGCTCTTCCTCGGGATGAGACCCTGGGGAGTGGGGGCCCTGCAAGCTCTGGGGCAGCTGAGGGAGGGGGACGTGCTGGAAGCCCCCCTGTGTCCCCAAGGAGGGCCTGGAGGTACCGGGCACACCATATGGGGCTCTAGCACCCGGGGAGGGGACCCCACGCAGAGGGAGGCTGACTGCGAGCAGCCCCGGAGTACGGAGCAGGTGTCGGACATGGAGAGCTAGGTCGGCCCTGGGCTGTTTGGGGGCAGCCAGGGGGCCCAGAGGCTGGGGGCTGCCCGGGACAGGGCCCTCTTCCCACCCGGAGCCCTGAGCGAGGGCGGCCTGGTGTCCTGGAGGAAGGACGGGGTGGGGGCCCGCTGACAGGTCCCGGCGGGGGATCGGGGGCATGGGGTGGGGTGGGGTGGGGGGATGGGGGAGGAAAGACTGGTCTCCCAAGCCTCCTTGCTGAGCTGTATTTTTGGGTCCTGTCGCCGCCGCGGCACCTGCTCCGTCTGGCTGCAGGCCGGGTGGGGTCCCCGGGGAGAGGAGAGGACCACGGGGCCTGGGGGCCACCTTTGCCTTTTAGTGGGAGACACCAGTGTCCCCGAGAGAGAAGACGTGGAGGTGAGGGCCCGACCTAGGGAAGCCACAGAGGGAAGTCCCGTGAGGCAGGAGGAGTGAGCGCCTCCTTGGGGCCCGCAGCGGGGTGGCCGGGGCTCCACTCACCCCTAAAGCTTTCAAAGACCTATTTATCTACGTTCTTATGGCAAAATGAACACCTCATGAAATTTACTGTCTTCCCCTCCTAAGTGTACAGTTGGCTGCTGCTCCGGGGTCCCTGTGGCTGGGGAGGGGGCGCCCCAGGGCCTGAGCGCCCCCGCCCCCCCCCCCCCCGCCCCCAAAGCTAACACATGATCCCCTTCTGCTGGTGGCTAATGATCCAGGGACACGGCCTCCGGGCTTCTCCCAGTGTCTACAATCCGCCTCCTTCCCTCGAGAACCCACAGACCTGCTTTCTTGTCTTCTCCAGATTTTAACATAAGAAAGGATCTTACCCTCCCAAGAGAGGAAGTAGCCTTTTAAGAGAGCTTCCTGAAGTCAGAATAATTCCCACAGGTTATTTTTAATGCTCTTGTTCTAAGAATTGCACAAGGAATAGTTTCTCTCTGTAAGCCCCAGTGCCCGAAGGCCCGACCTGCCCGCCCTCCCTCCCTCCCCCTCCCTCCCCCTCCCTCCCTCTTTTCTCCTCCCTTGCCCTCTCCCTTCTACCTCTGATCTCTCACCCCCTCCCACCCTCCACTCTCCCTTCTCTTTCCCCCTCCCCCTGCCCTCCCCACTCTACCTCCTCCCTTCCCTGTAGGTGGTGGTGGTGGTGGGGGACTTGCAGGTGTCAGGCTGATAACACAGTAACTCTTGCAGGTGTGGCCCTGTGTTTCATGCCTGGTGCTCTGAGGGGCTGGGGGGTCCCTAAGTGCCCACTGTGACCCTTGAGTTGGCTGGTGGGTGCTGTGCCCTCTTGTGTCCCCCACGAGGCCCAGGGGCACCCCCGTGCTTGGGCAGCAGCTCTCTGCGCCAAGCTGTCTTGGAGATGGTGGCTGGCAAAGGATCTCTGTCCGGCTGCAGGGGCCAGAAAGCCCAGCATCGTCGGTTCGGCCCACGGTTCGGGTGGACGATGGCCTCCTTCGTGGTCAGGGAGGCAGTGTCCTCCATCCTCTGGCCACGGTGGGCAATGCACAGGCGGGAGGCGTCCTCTCTTTGAAGCTGGGTGGTCATGGGCACAGCCTGTTGGGCAGCCTGCGGCTCCTGGCTGGTGTCCGGTGCCCTCCGACCCCTCCCCACCCACAGGACTGCGGCCGGCCGAGTGCAGTGTTCCCCGCTGCCTGTCTTCTGACCTTGGCAGCCAAGCCTATGAAAACCCGTTGAGAATCTGATATTACGGATTCCTTAAATGCTGTTATTTCATGTCAAAAATACTGCCCAGGATACTTCACCACATTCTTGAAGGTCACAAAGGGTGCATGAAGCCGATTTACAAGGGTGCTTGTTGTGAACCCAAACTTATGGACGTTTTTCCGTTTCTTGTGGGCTTTCACTATTCAATGGGCAGTGAGATTTATCTCATGTGTTTGTTTTCATTTTCCTCCAAAGATAATTATACGTGATACACTCTGGCATGCTGAGTTCCCCTTTCTGTGTTCCTTGACTTTGAAAATGTGAAGATATTATAGATTGTGCAATAAAAAGCTGATTCTGTATCGAAGGAGACAAAAAGGCTCTCTTTTCTAATTGCGTGTGTTAATCTTGTGCACATCTTCATTAGGGGCGTTAGTATATTGGAAAGATGCATCACAGTTGGCAAGTAAGAAAGCATCCTCATCAAACACAGGTTAATCCATTTTTCTCTGTTGACGGCCCAGGGTAAGGACGCATCCAGGATGGGGCTCAGGTCTGCACGCGGGACCCTTCTCGTCTGCCTCCTCCGGCGGCACACAGCCTCGGTAAAGGGCTGCCTCAGGCCTGGAGCGCTCAGGGCACCGAGCCAGGCTCTTTCCCTGCACCAGAGCCTCACAGCAAAGCTGACTAGCGACTGAGACCCCATTTGCAGGCAGGACACGGGTTCAGAGAGGTAAGGACGGGTACAGGATGTGTGGGATGATTTGAGCCCAGGTCTGTGGGTCTGAGCCCAAGGCCCCAACTTTTCCCCTCAACCATGGGCTTCCCTGAGTCTGTGGGGCCCATGGGTGGGAGTGGGGTGTGGTGAGGCAGCCTGTGCATTGACAAGAAGGGGGTCCCTTTGGGCGAAATGTGTTTGTCCCATCTTCCCAGTGGGACTCACTCCTGTTCCAGGGCTGTCCCTGGCCACCCGCTGGTCAGAGCGTGGCCTCACCCCAGGTCGGGTCCACCCCCGTCCATGGTGCTGGACGAGGACCGGGCAAGGAGGCGGCCGGATGGAGGCCAAGGGAAAGGACAGAGGACCAAGGAATTAAGACCCTCGTCCCTGCCTAGTTAAGCTTCTAACTGTAGGTGTTTGGTTTCAGAGCTGCGAGTGCGGAGGGATTGGGAAAACTTTTTAGCAACAAACAAACAAACAAACAAAAAAACACTAAAGTAGTAGCTTATTGGTCTAATCGGGGAAAGAATTACGGGAATTTATTTTCCAAAGGAACAGGGTATTTAATGAGACACGGATAAATAGGTCTGCTCGCGTCTTAGAATTTTGAAGGGCTTTGTTTTCCTCTGGCTGCTGCCGTGGAGAGTGGCGTGAGCTCGTTTTGTTTCCACCGTTCCTTTCATTCTGTTCATTAACTCAGCTCGCCGGCATTTGTAAGGGTCATCAGGCGTGTTCTACGCAGACCCGCTCACCTGAGGAGGAGCCTCGTGGATGCTGCGTGGCTCTGCAGGACCCCACACGGCTGCTCCCTGCGCCTCGCCTCCGCAAGGACTGGGCCGGGGATCTGGTGTCCCGCAGGGTTGATCTTCCCAGGGCAGGTGGGCGGGCACAGCAGACATGGCAGGTGTTTACCAACAGGAGGAAGCTTCTCGATGGAACATTCAGAGCCAGTGGAGGCCGTGGGGCAGGCGGGGGCTGCTCTCAGGGCTGGGGGTGTCAGGTCCCGGTGTGTCGCTCAGCAGCGGCCCCATCCCTGAGGCATAGACACCTGCCCCCCAGCCAGGCAGTCGAGGCGCAACTATGATAGAGCGTGAACACCTAGGCTGAGGCCTTCAGCGTTTACGTGTGGCCAACGCTGCTACGTCTTCCCGTCCTTGTGATTCTCACTTAATCCTCAGAGCAGCCCGTGAGGTATTTTTGTCTGAAAGGTAAAGGAAACGGACACAGAGAATTTAAGGATCTTGATCCAAGCCACGGAACTTACACATCCCAGACTCAGGAACAGCAAGGATTCCCGATACTGGGCTTTAACACATAAGATATACGACTGTGTATATGGAATGCTCTTTAGAACATTCTAGAACGTGAGTTTATTGAGTCTTTTCTGCCGATTTCATGAGCAAAGGCGAGTGAGAGCTCGTCACCTTGGCCTTCATGGCTCACCAGCCAGGGTGTTGGGGCCACCCCATGAAGGAGGGGGCAGCTGCTGGACACTGCCTCCTGTGCTCAAGCATCGTCTGCTCAAGTTCAGGCTGAAGAAGCCCTTGGCAGGGCAGGGGGTGGGTGCGCGGGCTCTGGGTTGGACCCCAAGGTGATCACCCCGGCCGGCGCTGTCCTTGCTGTGCGGCCTGAGAAAATTACTTGACCTCTCTCTGCATCTGCCTTTTCTTCGGTTAAAGGAGGTGGTGACAGGCTTACTTTGAAGCGCGGCGAGCACGGGCCCGTGGTGCTCTTAGCGTGGGTCTGCAGACAGCAAATACTCACGTGGGCGGGGAGAACTATTTTTCATTTGCACCCGGCCTTGGAAAATAGGTTTTCCTTTTTCTTTGTAAATAACGCGAGTTGTGTATGTTCGCGGGACAAGTTCGAACAATCTAGAAGTATTTAGTCATAAGACAAACAGAAAACCTGCTTCGTGCTCTGCCCTGTGCCTTTCTAGTCTCCTCCCGACGGGGAGCCACTGGCAGCTGCTGGCAGCAACCATCCGGGTGTTTTCGCCTACATATTTACATATGTGGACGCACGTATACGCTTTTATTTATCTACGTGTTAAAGCCAGTTAATGCTCATGACCCTGCCCCCTCCCGCAGCCCCACCACAGCAGTGTGTCCTGGACAGTCTGTGCCACTAGACACACAAAGTCAGCATTTACAGGTTTCGTCTCTAATCCCTCCCTGACGTCGTGGGTGTTCCGGTGTCTGGCCTGCCCCCGTTCTCAGCCTTGCCGCTGCCGTCCTTGTACATTCATCTTTTTTGAAGGGAGATTTGGACTCAGTGAAAGAACCGACATGTCCAGTGTCTGCCCAGCGGTCTGAGAACTGGCTGGTGACTCTGTGTTCTCCGTGTCTAGAATATTCCGGGAAGGGCAGGCTGGCCATCTATCAGGGATGTCCTGGGGAGGATTGCTGGGCTGTGGGTGCATAACTCTTTGGGCACAGAAGGATTCTGGCGTGAAATTAGGAATCTAAGTAGACTCGTCAATGGCAAAATAAAATGGGGAGAGTTATATTAAGAAAATTTTATTAAGAGAATTAAATATTAATTGGCACATGGGAGTGCATCCAGGGAAGGATTTCTAGGGAGTAGAAGTTCCCAGAACTGTGTTTTGGGCAGCACAGGGATGTTCAGGCTGAAAAAGCACGGGAACCACCATCAGTGACCACCTATTGATTGGTAAGATATCAGAAGAAAGGCATCTTTTCTAGGTGGCTTCAGAGGGTGGACGTAGACTAATAAAAACAATGTAGAGAAGGCAGATTTATTGTATTTATTTATTTTTCAAACCTAAAATATAGTTTATTTTTCTTTCTTTTTTTATAAATTTATTTTTTATCGGTGTTCAATTTGCCAACATACAGAATAACACCCAGTGCTCATCCCGTCAAGTGCCCCCCTCAGTGCCCATCCCCCAGTCACCCCCACCCCCCGCCCTCCTCCCCTTCCACCACCCCTAGTTCGTTTCCCAGAGTTAGGAGTCTCTCATGTTCTGTCTCCCTTTCTGATATTTCCCACTAATTTTTCCTCCTTTCCCCTTTATTCCCTTTCACTATTTTTTATATTCCCCAAATGAATGAGACCATATAATGTTTGTCCTTCTCCGATTGACTTATTTCACTCAGCATAATACCCTGATAAGCAAATTGCAAATGCATAAATACATGAACAGAAGAGGCCACGTTCAAGAGGAAAGCTCCCAGGCCCAGGACTGGAGGAAAGGCCAGGGGGAGGAGGTGAGGAGACTGGAGGGAGGTCCAGGAGAGGTGGGGACCAGATGGAGTGGTGAGAACAAGGCTTTTCCAGCCCCAAATCCTTATTGCAAAATCTGCTTTAACCCTGCAGCGTGTAGGGCCAGGCTGAGGCAATTGCAAAATCTGATAATGTCCATGGGAAAAGTTGCAAACAAAAATGACAAATCACCGTAAGAAACCCATAGCCCAGGGGTACCTGGCTGGCTCAGCAGGTAGAGCGCATGACTCTTGATCTCGGGTTGTGAGAGCGAGCCCCACGTTGGGTGTAGAAATTAGCTTAAAAAAAATCTTAAAAAAATCCCAAACTCATAACCCTGAGAAAGTCAGGAGAACCCACATGGGAAAAGGCACACCCAAGGAAGTAGAAGTAGCACAGTCTGAAAATAAGATGGGAGAGTTCAGATTTCTCGAGGAGACTGAAGAGGAAATGTAATTCTTGAAATGGGGACAGGAGGGTGTTAAGCCAGGACCGGGCCAGTTCCCAGGAAGCAGACTCCGAGACAAAGGCTTTTGTGCAGGGGATTTTCATCTGTGGCTCTTGGAAGGACGTCCGTCCGTAGTGCCGGAGGGCGGGCCAGGGCTCAGGGAGGTGCCAGGCAGAGATGCAGCCACACCAGAGGCCTCAGAGCATCCCGTCCCTCAGAACTGTGTGCGGGAGGCGGGGGGCATCCGTACCCCTGGGCGCAGCCGTGTTCAGCCGGGCTTGGGGCCAAGGGCCTGGTTCCGGCACACTGCGGCCACCGCCTCGTTTTGTGCACACGTCTGTAACTTCAGGTAGGCGTCCAGGAATATGGCGTCTCATTTGTTTGTTGATTAATACATTGCTTTCCCTGGTCCAGACGTGGTTATCGGATTTGTGCTTTCTGCAAATGTTGTTTCTCCCGTGTTAACCTAATCAAATGGCTCCCAGCTATACAACCCTTTGAAGCAGTTATTCTAACTATGAGGAAATTTTTCTAGCTAAAAAGCCATGCATGGTAACGTTCATGTATATTTCATCGTTGCTTTTGTTTGAAATCATTCACATTAAAAAAAAAAAACAAAACAAAACACCGCACCAGAAACTGTGTTGCTGTGAAAAGGCAAAAGAGCCGGACACCAACCAGAGTCCCCGAGGACTGTGTGTGTCCCAGAGGGGAGTGTTCAGGTCAAGGCGCCGCCCCTGGTCTCTGGCCAGCGGAGGTCACTCCAGGGAACAGAGCCACTGCGCCCTGGGGCCCCTGCCTCTCCTCCCCCAGCCCCTCCTGGATTCCCCACAACGGGCCTGTGCACCCTGGGTGATTTGGGGCCGTCTGCCCAGTGCTGGCTGGTCGGCAAAGCTGTACTAAAACCCTGTCCCAGTGCTCTGGAAGCCCTTCCTCGGAATGAGCAATTCTGAATACTCCGCGCCAGCCTCTCCGGGGGAGGCTCTGGTCCTTTACTCCATAGCGGTTGAGATTTCAAATCCCTTTGCTTTTATGCCCCCCCCCCCCTTTTCCCTGACTTACGCCACGGTTGCTCCCGGAACTGCCAACACTTCCCCTCGTGGCTCAGTACAGTTTCCCCCCCCCCCCCCCGCCTCGTGTGTATTTCTTTCCCCGGACGTGCTCGTCAGGGCAGGAGTAGGAGCAGCTCTTTGCAGCCCACGAGTCACGCTGCGTGGTTGCCAGCTGTGTCAGCTGCCCGGGGTAGTCGCCACGAGGGACCACAAACTGCTCAACCCGGATAGATCCTCTCGCATTCCGGAGGCCAGACGTTGGAAGTCAAGGTGAGGCAGGGCCGTGCTCCCTCTAGAAGCTGCCAGGGATCCTTCCTGCCTCTTCCAGCTTCAGGGGTTGGGGGAGACTGTGGCCCCTGAGCTCCTTGGCAGTGTCACGTGCCTCTATCTACATGTGGACATCCTCTCTATGTCTGTAAAGGACACTTGTCGTTGGATTCAAGGACCACGCAGATAACCCAGGATGATGTCCTTACCTTACATCTGCAAAGAGCCTATTTCCAAATGAGGTCACATTCCCAGGTCCTGGGCGCTGGGGTGTGGACACCTCTTTTGAGGGCAGCACACAACCCACCACGTCACCCAAGATGCATGTGGAATCGTGGGCTCTGAGTGGACACCCGGCGTGTGGGGTGGGGGCCGGCGGTGGCTTTATGGTTGAAACATAGAAAGGAGACGGGCTTCAGCAGAGTCTGGAAGGTCACTGGGGCTGTGCATGCGAGTGCAGGGGCGGGAGAGGCCTGACTCTGGGGGCCACTGTTTGAGGGCGTCCATCAGCAGTGAGGACCCCAGACGCCCACAGAGGCAGGTCCACGCCTGTGCCCTGCTTCCTGTCACTGGGGCAGGTTTGACCTTGGGTGTGGCAGGGTCGGGGCCCCCCCCAGAGGTATTTGCCCCATCTGGCTGCGAGGGGCTGAGCTGAGGGGCTTTACTGCGGAGACATCTCCCTGGGAGGTGGCTGCTGAGGCAGCGTGGGGCCTGGCAGGGCTGGCGGGGTGGGGGCAGGATGGGGGCTCTCGGGGAGATGGCCCTGGTGGCAGTGCAGAGCTGGCTAGCCGGTGTGTGTGAGTAAATCAGTTGTGGGGCCGATGTGAGGGCAAGGTTGGTGGGTTTGCTGCACGGGGTCCCTGGGGACCCTCGGTGAGGTGGGAGGAGGGTGGAGCTCACCCCCTACCCCACATTGGTGGGCTGCTCTGACCTGTCCCTGCCTGCCTGGCGCTGGCACTTCTGCCCCTGGGGGGCTCATTTCCCCTTCACCCTGTGCCTCCCACGCCGGGTGCCACCTGCCACCCGAGGAGGCATCTGGTCCTGGGGCCTACCCAGTCTGTGCTGAGCCCCCGCCCCTGCTCATCTTGGCTGTGGCCTCTCCCTCTGCCCGAGGCCCCTCCCCGCCCCTGCCCTGCCTTTCGCCCCAGGTCCTCCGGCCCTTCTGGGGGGCAGGTTATGACCTCCCCCGTCCAGGGCGTTTTGGCCTTCATGGGCCTTCCTCCATAAAAACATATTAAAAATAGTATTTTATGACTGTGTGGTGTACAGATGAGCAGAATGCAGAAGTCCTGAACCTTGCTTATGGTGAGAAATGAAATGTTTGCTCGGGCCCTGGCCCCGGGCCTGCTGTGCCTGCTCCCCACCTGGGGACCCACGCCTCCCGCAGCCCCTCCGGCCCCCGTGGTTTCCTCATGGTCACGTCACTTTCCTACTCGCAGAGAAGAGCCGGGCCGGCCTTCAGGGACGGGGCGCTCAGGGGTGTGGCAGCTGCGGCCACCCTGCCCCCCCGGTTCCAGCCGGGCCACGGGAGCCCCGCACTGGTGAACAGGGCAATGGCTTGGTGCCCCTGACCTGCAGGCCCGGCCGCGCCGTCGGGGCTCACGGCTGCCCTGGGCCTCTGCCCCCCGCCTCGCGGCTGGGAACCTAGCTGCCCAAGTCGCAGACACATGCTTAAGGACTCAGAGTGAATATTCACCAGCGGAGTAAATGAGCCAGTCCTGCCGGGGCTTCTGGAACAGTCGATCTTTCTGTCTGAAAATTTGCCCCAAAGCCGGGGAGGCTGCAGTGGGAGCCCGTTTCCCTGGATGCACCTCCTCTGGTGTGCCAGGGGGTGACATCCTCTGGGGTCAGGGAGTCAGCGTCCGGAGTGGTTCCCACAGACTCGAATGGGGCTCAGGTGGAACAGGGGCCCCCAGGAGCGGCGGGCACGGGCGGCTTCCTGCATGTGCCCCGTGGGACGCGGGAGGGGACCCCTGGCAGCAGCTGGGGGAGGAGGGGCTCTGTCACCTGCTCACTCCTAGCTGGACTTGGGTCCGCAGGGGGGTGGGTGCCCGGGGAGGGCACGCGGCTCCGGCTCTGTGGCAGGCCTGGAGCGGGTCCTCGGACACAGCAGGACGTGCACGGAGCCGGGGCCTGCAGCAGGTGGCAGCCGCGTTCCCGGCGTGTCCCCAGTGCTGGGCGGTGGCCGCCGCGTCCCTGTGGGGTACGGCCGTCGCCTCCCGCCACTCCTGTGCTCGTGTCCTTCCCCCGGCCATGCTCACGCCAGGAGGGCCACGGAGGTTAGGCCCACGCGCAGCGGGCAGAGGGCGGCTGGCCCGAGCAAGTCAGCCGCGGGGCGATCCCGAGGCCCCCGAGGATGACGGTTTGGCGGGGGCCGTGGCGCTGGGAGCCCCGCTCTCCTGCTGCCCCGAGGTGCTCACAGCCCCGCGAGGACCGTGAGTGGACGCTGCAGGCGAAGCTCCTTAATGATGTGTTCCCGGGGTCAGCTAACTTCTGACACAAAATCAGTGCCATCCACACCAGCAGGGGCAGGCCAGGGGTGGGGCCTTTGATGTGCCCCCGAGGGCCGGGGCCCCGGGCCTGCCCTGCTCGCAGCTGCTCCCTGCAAACCAGCTGCGGTCCTCAGTGGGCGGAGGGGGCCGGGGAGGCGGACGGCACCCTGTGTCCTCCCCGGCCTGGCCTGGGTGCAGCCGTGGGGCGTGTTTGCAGGTGCAGAGGCACCTCCCCAGGGGCGTTTGTACTAAACATCGGCTCCACGTTTGTAGCAAAATCATACCATTTGTTTAGCAAATTTAATCAAGTCAAAGTTGATTTCCCGGTAGGGGTTGTCGCTTGACCCCTGTAGAGTGTAAACCGGAGCACCCTTTAGCCACGGGCGCCGAGGAGCTTGTGCAACCCCTGGGTCTAGGGATTGGCCAGGTGGGAAGGTGCTGAGCATGCGCCTTGCCCAGCCCCGGGCGCCCACGGCCTGCAGCGTCCACAGCGCCGCCGGACGGATCAGTCCAAATGAAGCGCTCTTGAGCCACACAAGGGCCTCTTCTCCACTCGCCACGATACATCATTCAAAGGAAGAGTGAGTCATACGGGAGATGCTGCTAACGGGTGAGGTTTTTAAAGGCATGGAAAGAGCAGACACGGTAACTTTAATTTTTTGACTTTTTTTTTTTTTTTAAGGGTTCTATTTACTTGTTAGAGAGAACGCAAGCAGGAGTCGGGGCAGAGGCAGAGGAAGAAGCAGGCGCCTCGCTGAGCAGGGAGCCCGATGCAGGACTGGATCCCGGGACCCCGGACCAGACGGCGTAACCGACCCAGCCACCCAGGTGCCCGAGAGATTTTTATTTTTGTTAAAGATGAGAAGTGCAACACACCTGTGTGTGTGGACAGGTGCATGTGTGTGTGTCCGCGCACACGTGTGGATGCTTCTCCGGACGCGTGTGTGTCTGAGGTGGAGGAGGAACCCTTCTCTAGCCTTTGAGCCTCGGGCTGAGCCCGACATAAAGTGAGACGGGCAGATGCATGGGAGAAGCACGGACGGGACCGCCGCGTGGACGTGGGAGGCTCCCCAGGAGAGCAAGCCCCCAGAGGGACCAGAGCGGGAAGCTTTCATGCCTTTTATTTATTTTTATTTTTATTTTTTTTTGCTTTCATGCCTTTTAGACAGAGAAGCCGTGAGTGGGTGACGAGTGGGCCGCAAAGAGGGGTCTGTGTGAAGGGCGTCGCGACGAGGGACGGGTTCGTTTGTACGGATTTCCTACCCGCGTTTCCTGTCTCTGTGGTAAGAGCAGCTTCATTCCTGCTCCAGGGAGGGCACCGTCCACGGGTGGGAGCGTCACCTCCTGTTTTCAGGGAGCAGCCCGGAGGGTCGGCGTCCTTTTTGCACAGGGGCCTGTGCCGGGGGGGCCTGCTCTGGTCTCCTTCAGTCTGGAAGTGTGAGTTAGGCGCCAGGATGTGTGGGAGTGCTCGTTTCTGGGTGGCGAGGCTGCTAATAACTTCCAGTTTCCTGCATGCTTCACAATTTTCCGTAATGAAGTTGCAAGTTTTAAAACTTGTGCAAACATAGCCACAGTAGGGGCTGTTTTCTGGCGTGTTGTGGAGAGCTGTGGGGTGCAGGGTGCTGGGAACCAGGTGAGGACTGTCGCCGTGGAGGTGCTTTCTGCAGGTGGCAGGGAGGCGGACAGAGACCCCTGCTCCCGGAGTGACCATCTGGCTCTAGACCCTTGCTGGTGGCTGTTCCGAGCCCGTCACCTTGGGACTGATGCGGTTGTGCCTGGCCTTGAGCTTTCTTGCGTGGCTGTTGTCCAGCACCAGCGCTACCCTCGGGGGGCTCCTGCGGTTCCCTGGGGGTGCCCATTGCCCAGATCTCCCTTTGGCTGCCTGGGGACCCCTGTGGGAACCTGGTGCTTCTCTGTGGTCTGCACGTTCCCTGACGTCGCCTGCTTTTCCTCCTCCCACTGGCCTGCCTTCTGTGTTTTGTGGTTCTTTCTTTTATTTTTATTTTTATTTTTTTCTTTTAAGATTTATTTATTTATTTATGATAGTCACAGAGAGAGGGAGAGAGACAGAGACACAGGAGGAGGGAGAAGCAGGCTCCATGCACCGGGAGCCCGATGTGGGACTCGATCCCAGGTCCCCAGGATCACGCCCTGGGCCAAAGGCAGGCGCTAAACCGCTGCGCCACCCAGGGATCCCTGGTTCTTTCTTTTAAAGTAAAATTTGGTAAAACACGTATGATGTAAAATTCAACCACTAACAAACAAATTCAACTGTTTCGTGGTGTGCCATTCAGTGGCCTGCGATGCATTCACAGCGTGTGCACCTGCCACCACCATCTGTCTCCAGAATCGTGTCACCTGCCCCACGAGACCCTAAGCCCTCGTCCCCTCCCCCTGCGCCCCACCCCGCATCCTCCTGCATTTCGACGACTCTACATCGTTTTGCAGCAGGTGTCAGACTTTGCTTCCTGGTTAACGCTGAACAGAATTGCCTGTGCAGAAGGACCACGGTTCATCTCCTCGTCTGTCCGCCGACACCGGGGTTGCTTCCACCTTTTGACTCCCGTGAATAACGCTGCTCTGAACCTGGGTGTGCACACATCCCTTCGAGTCCCTGCTTTCTGTCCTTTGGGGCAGATACCGAAGGGTGGAATTGCGGGGTCATGGGGTCATTCTGGGTTTCTGAGGAGCCATGTTTGCCTTCGGTTTGCTCTGAGGGACACAGAGCAGACCTTCGTGTGGGCCTGAGTTAGACGTGGCGCCAGGGATAGGCGGGACCTGGTTATGTTCTTTCTCGATGTAGGATCTCTGACCTCAAGGACCAGAAACCAAGCAGAAACCTGCAGGGACTTTGGGTGCCCCCGCCGGGACACCGCCCGCCCTGCCGCCCTGCCCACCAGGCGGTACCGTTATTAAGTCAGGACTGGTTCTGTAATTTGTGGGGCCCAGTGCAAGATGACGGCGTGAAACAAGTTCAAGACAGAGCATTAAACCCAGTGTTGGGGTCGTCTTCACGGCCCGCAGAGCCTCGTCTCCCGTGTCGGGGCTTCGGAGGAAGTGGCCAGAATGGGTCAGGTGGCCGGGCCGTCCTTTCGTTCCTCCTGAGTTGTGTCCTTTATCATAATAAACCAGTAATCTAGTAGGTACAGTGTTTCCCTGAGGTGGTGACCGGCTCCAACAAATCGTGGGAGCTGAGGAGGGGGTCGTGGGAAGCTGTGGCCTGCAGGCGCCAGGAGAAGCCCGGGGCGCCTGGGTGGGGAGGGCCGGCCCCGTGGGACCGAGCCCTTGACCTGTGGGTGTCCCCAGGGAGACAGGATCGGGTCAGAGCAGAGTTAAACCGCAGTGCACCCAGCTGGTACCTGGGAAGGACTGGGCGTGGGACGGCCGGGCCACCTGGGTCGGACTGTGGAGTGTGAGCTGTGCTCCCGTGGCCCCGGCGGGCTCCCCGCGCGGAGGTGCAGGCTCTGTCCCCCCAAGTGGGGGGCGTCTGCCGACTGCTCAGGCCCCAGAGGCTGTCCCCTCCGGTCACCTGCCACCGGACGTGGCCGTTACTGCGGAGGCCACTCACGCTGCCAGGGCGCTCGGCCCCCGGGAAGGGGCTTCCGCTGTGTTTCATGGTGTGGAGCCACCACGGACGGTCACGACGCCCCGCAGTCCCCAGGGCCCCAGGAGCCCGCATGCCTCACCGTGCTTGTCCGGAGCCAGCAAGCGGACAACGAGTCCGGCGGCCAGGTGCGTGACCCTTCAGCACTGCTGCTCTCAGCTCACCCGGGGCCACAGCAGTCTTCACTGGCTCCTCCGGTGGCTCCCTGGGACCCAACAGGACACTGCTGCACGGTGGCCCCTGCCCTGTGCTCCTGTCTCCTTGAACACCCGGCCAGGTTCTAGTGCCCTGACCGTCTTGGACTTGGAGCTTCTTTGCTCTGAGAGCCTTCTTGGAGGGTCCTTCCCTGGGTGAGCGTCCTGGTGTTTTGTAGGAAAGTGGCCAAAACCACAGTCACTCGCGAAGGTTTGTGCCTTCCCTGCACCAGGACTTCCGTGTGACCCGCAGGCCCCTCACGGGTGGGGAAGCAGTGGCCAGCCCTGGTGTGCTGGGGTCTCCTTCTGACCCTGAGCCCATGACGTTGCCTGCAGAAGAGTTGTGGCACCTGGATTTCACCCTTCTTTGCAGAAAAGTTTTATTTTTCCTAAATAAGGTGGATTTGGAGACAAAAACAGAAGACCTGCTCTATCTATCTATCATCAAAATGTGGAAGCTGAAGGGAACCTCAGAAATAATTGGATCCAAATGCCCAATTTGGGGGAGATGAGGGATCAGAGGCCCATATGGGGTAGGCGGCTTGTCCCAGGTCACCAGGCAGTGTCAATAGAGTTGGGGCAGCTCCCGTGACAGTCTCGGGCCTCTAGGCACCTGCCTGCCTCGTGGGGGGGCTTGGGTCATGCCTGAGCCTGAGGCTGGAAGCAGCAGCAGTGAGAGCTGGTGGTTCCCAGGACTCGCTGGGCACTGGGTGCTGGGCTCAGCCTCACGACTGCCCATGGAGGGGCTCTGGCAGGAGCCGCTCTCCACAGGTGAGGACACTGAGGCAGGGGGAAGTGCTGTTACTTGCTAGAGGTCACACAGCTGGGACGTGATGAATCCATCCCGGCCAATGGGACAAAATACAGTTGATTGCTTGAAGCATGACCCACAGGTCACTCTTGGGGCCTCATGTCGGTTTGCATCCTTAACAAGAGTCCCGGAGAGCAAGATGTGCCGCAGTGGAGTCTGGAGCGAGATAGGAAACGAACGCCGTACGATGCAGACAGCCCAACCGAGAAGGGACGGGTGTCCGTTGCACACGCGCGTGGCTCCTGCTGACCTGTCGGCCTGGGGCCCTGGGGGGTCATCTGTGGTCAGTTGGGACTTCAGCACCTGGTGTGAGGGCTGTGAGGTAGGGCTGTGTGTCGTTGGTTGAAGAGCTGTCCATGCAAACGAGGGCAGAGTGTTTCCCCCCGGCTGGGATTGGTGGCCATCACCGCTCAGCGGGAGCATTTATAGGTCTTCGAGAGCCTTCCTGATGGAACGGGGCCAGGGAGGAGCGTGTGGGCAGGCCGAGTTGAGGGCTTTGATTTAGGACGCATTCCCTGTGGCGAGGGTGATGGGGACCTTGGTCATCTATCACCTCTGTAGGGAACTTTCTGAAGCAAATATCTATCTTCAAGCGGAGCAACTGTGCACTCCCTGACAATGTGTAACCAGGGAGACATTTGTTCAGGGCTTAGAGAGTGTTCGTGTCATAAACTTCCGCCAAAATTATGGGGATGTTATAAACTTAGCGTCACGATGTATATCTTTTTAATAATGTGATGGTTCCAGTGACTCTGTGACTCCTGGCTGGCCCTCCGCAGCTGTGACTGCGCCGGTGGGCCCGGGGCACGGGAGGCGGCTCCGCTCGTGGCTGCCCTTCCCACCCGCACCAGCGAGCAGGTGGTCCTCGCTCGTGTTAACCAGGTAAGCGTTGGAGGAAAACGCCGTCCTTCGGCCAGTGATGAAGGCGGAAGGAAAACACGTTTCCGCGATAGAGGAGGATGGTATTTTTGCTCAGATTTTATTTCATGAATCATCTCACATGTGAAAAGTGGAAGAAGGTCATGAGCCAGGCCAGTCACGTGCAGTTCAAGCTTTGCGATGGACCCGTCGGTGCTAATGTTTGCGGGGTGGCCAAGCATCTGAGTTAGAGCACAGCTCCCCAGGCCGCAGGCCCCAGTGGGCGATCGCGGTCTCCTCGCCTTGGTTGTCCGGCGCTTGGGAGGCGTGTGTGTCCGTGTGGGTGTGGGTGTGGGTGTGTGGATGTGTCAGTTGAATGGACATTCAGCCATGTTGAATTTCATGGGGTTCTATCAAAGTCTCTGTAAATGTGTCTTTTCTAATACATCTGAGGTTCTCTATTTCCTCTGGCTGTACAATATGATAAATGTATGAGAGGTTGGAAAGTAGAGAAACATTTGAAGAAGCAAATAAAGTTTCTCCTGAGACCGCAGCACACTGCGAGGAGCCCTCTTGTCTTCTGACGTGCACATTGTACCCATTTGCTCTGATAACATCACAGGGGGGCCTCCACTGGCCACGGCTCGTGAACCCCTGGCAGCCTGCGGTCCTCCTCCTTTTTCTGCCCTCGCTGGCCACAGGTTGGCCCCTGCAGAGGGCATCTCCTGGGACCCCTTCCCTCACTGGCTGCTTTCCAGTTGGGTTCCACCAAGGACAGGCCAGCAGGAGACTGGGGCTGGGTGGAAAGAGTGGCTG